GTGCATGCAGTATGTAAACAGTTTTTGTTAACTTTTTATTTTAAACATTACCTTTCCCCTTCACTATTTTAATGATTTTATTATTGCTAAAAGGGCTGTCTATATAGCAGGTTCACTGTATCACCCACAGAAGCCCTGTAACCACCGTGATGGTGCTGTCTCCATTCTTTGCGAGCGGCTCTGTCCCACTTTTGTCTGTGCTTGGCGGAGCTGACTCTTGCCCAGACCACGAGCACTCTGTCCTGGTGCTGTGCAGTTCAGAGGGGCAGCCAGAGGGTTAATGACTGAAGTGAGAACAGTGGGCATTTTTCTAGTCAGCTGTGCCCTTGAGCTGGCAACACAGGCCACAGTCCCTGTGGAGCCTGTCAGCAGAATCCATAGTGATCAAGTCAGTCTGCTCACTGGTTTTGTCACCCATGGACAATGGAAATGTTCCAAACATTGGGGCTTTTATGAGAGAATCTCCCAGTTTGAAGTGTTCCTTGTCTTGTCTCTAGGGACTTTCAAGCCTGCTTGGATGGGATGGCTGGTGGGTCTCAAGCACCTAGACTCTCTAGAACCCATGGGTTTGGGTTCTAACAAGGCTGACTCAGACCTACCCCCCCCCCCCAAAAAAAAAAGTACTGTCAGCTTAGTGGGTATGTGTGATTTGTGTACTCAGCCTTTAAACCAAGGGCCTCTTGTCTGCCCTGGATGGTCATTAAATGTCACCAAGCCTAGGCACATTTCCTAGGAGTAGAAGTTTACACTCCAGTCCTTGGCCATGATTCCCCCCATCACTGACGCATACAATACTGTGCTCTCCCACCTCCCTGAACTGGCAGCATCCTGGTGCTGCTGGGTGCGTACTTGGTGAAGCACTTTGAGATCCATTTCAATGAGGTGCTGTGTCTATGAAACTTCGGATACCCTGCTGATCTCAAAGCATTCTGCATGCTGTGCACAAGGGGATGGCTACTGAAAGGAAGGATGGCATCATCTCTCTGCCTGCCAGTGGAGCCCCAGCCTCAAGTCAAGTGTGTGACCCTCAGGGCTGTAGTGTAATGTGCTGCATAGACTGCTGGCTTCTCTGGGATCTCTCAGCAGTAGGCAAAGGCTCCAGGCCACCAGCAGCAGGAACTGCTGCAGGGCTTGCTTTCTGGAATGCCGTCTGGCAGCAACAGCAGCTTCCAGAGGGGCTGAGGGCTCCCTGCAGGCAGCCTGTGTGCTTAATGCTGCAGTTTGCACCATATGGACCTTCTCCTCCTCTTCGCTCATCCTCCCAGTGTCTCCTTCCCTGTTCTGCTCCCCTCCCCCTGCAAGCAGTTAGATAGAGCAATTGGCCAGGCACTGGGACAGCAGCACTGACATAAATCTCTCCTAGTGTGGAATGAGGGGTATAAATATCCAGAGAGTGATGTGATCTTTCCAGCTGCTATTAATAGGTCCCTAGGGAGAGAGAGCAAGCAAGCGAGACTGGCTGACACTTAAAGGGCTAGCTACTCCCTTATGTGCTGTGAAAATTAATCAGCACCATGGCTCACCATCTTCCTGTAGGCTAAAGCAGAGCCCTCTGCTAGGTGTGTGGGGATAAGGAGGAGGAGGGAGCCACTAATGACTTGCTAGTTAGGAAGCAGTGATAGGCCAAATGGTGCAGGAGGGATCTCACTTCACTAACTAGAAATGTTTGGGCAGGCTGTGTGGCAGCACTGCACTTGCAGGCCTCTGAGTCCCATCTGGTTTGGTCTCACACCCACTGGCAAGGCAGGTCCTATCATCCCAGATTTTACAGATGGGGAAACTGAGGCACAAAACTGTGAAGGGACTTGCAGGGGTTATGGGGGAACTGGTGGCAGGTTGCCTGAGTTTGGGTCCTGGCTGACCTGACCCCGAGGCTGTTGCTGTCTCTTGGACAGCACAGATCTGCAGCAGGCAGACTGGCTGCTTTGCTGCATCTTGTTCAAGGTCCAACATCCTGCTGCAGTGGAGTGGGACTTGGCTTTTCCCCATTGCGTGTCCCCAGGTCCACTCTGAGCAGGTCAGAAAGGGCATCCATCCCACTGCTGAGCTGATTCAGTTCTATTTAGAGCCCTGGGGTTTGGGTTGGTGCCCAGCGCTTCTGGTCCCTGGCTGGCAGAAATAGCTGTATTCAGCGTATGGGTAGGGCAGCCCGGCATCATGCAGCAGAGCCCAGGCAGAAGGGCTGGTACCCTGTGTGTGGTGTGGTGGGGTGATCTCTTTGCCTATGCACGGGAGGAGGCTCCTTTGTGGGCAGGGTAGGGAGTTTAACAGAGCTGAACAAGCAGAGAACACCACAGCAGCTTCCACGAACAGCTGGCTGGAGGCTCCCCCCAGGAAGTAAAAACGGAGTGAAGGGGAGTGTCTGTATCTTTAGGGCCAACACAGCAGAGGGACATGGGGTGTGTCTCTGGAAGTTCCTGGCACATGAGCAGGGTACTTTTCATGGAGAGTTTGGATGCACTTTGCCTTGTTCCTTTCTCAAGTGCAGGAGCCATCTCACACTGCTGGTGGTTTGTCAGGAGCACAGGGCAGGGGAAGACACCGCTCCCCTTCACTTGCTTCCCCTGCCTCTGCCCGGGTGACTCTGAGTGCACTTGCCTCTTCCTCTCCTCCCATTGTGGTACTGCATTTACTCTGGCCTCATTGGGGTTATTGCTCCCTGCTAATGTGAGCCGTTGTTTGTTGCATGCAGGGAACAGTGACAAGCCATGAGGGATGCAGGCTGCAGCTGCCTAGGCAGCCGCCTAGGCAGCCCATTGAATGGTGAGTGGTGCTCCATGGCTCCCCAGAGCAGATAATGGACCCAGCAAATACCTGGCATCTCATTCCAGTCACCGCAAGACTCCTTATCCCAGCATCCAGGGCAGAGACACGGGAGAGCTCCAGGGAAGGGATGAGGATGTGGGTGAAAGAGTCCTGTGTTAAGTCAAATAGATGCTGAATAAAGGCTGAATCTGCATTTCCTGAACAAACCACACACACACACACCTGCCACTCCCCAACCTCCCATATGTGCCCTTTGCTCCCATCTTCCCTCTGAGCACCCTGTGGGGCTATCTAGAGAACTGTGCCCAAGGTCTGGTATGGTGAAGACCTCACCCCATTATCCCTGGCAGCCCCATGCTGCACCACAACATCCAGCTGGAAGTTCTGGTTAGTATGGAGCTTTCCCCATCCATCAAGCATTCCTGTCTCAGGCCATTGTAGCAGGTGCTAAAGCTACCCCTTTGCCTCCTACAAGAGCAGCGACTGTTGCTTGGCTGGCTGGTTCCTCTGCCTGCTCCCACTTCTGCCTCTCTCTTATCCCTCTGCCCCCCACTCCTCCATCCATCCCACTGCCTCCATTCCCTCCTTCCCTGAGCCTTGTTCATTAATTCCTGCTCAGAACAGCCCCCTCTCACCTCCTGCTCTCTCAGCCCTCCCTGGATTTCTCCCCCACTGCATCCCTCCCCTCAGTAGGCTGGGTTGTCACCTCTTGTCCATCTGGTTGAACCACATGGTGACTGGTAGGCATCATGTCTCGTGTGTTTTCAAAGCACCGGAAAGGCTCTTTCAGTACTAGCAACAACTGGGGCTGGCTGAGAAATGGGCAGTAGGATTTGGGGTGCTAAGGCCCTGAGGGCTCTGTATTTCTGTTCACTGTACAAATTTGTTCTGTACTCTGGGAAACACCTGCAAAATCTTAGAAACGTAGGACTGGAAGGGACCTCGATAGGTCCTCTAGTCCAGGTCCCTGCACTAAGGCAGGACTAAGTATTATCTAGACCATCCGTGACAGAAGTTTGTCTAACCTGCTCTTAAAAACCTCCAAAGACGGAGATTGCACAGCCTCCCCTAGGCAACTTGTTATAGTGCTTAACTACCCTGACAGAAAGTTTTTCCTAATGTCTAACCTAAATCTCCCTTGGTGCAATTTAAACCCATTGCTTCTTGTCTTGTCCTCAGTGGTTAAGGAGAACAATCTATTACCCTGCTCTTTATAACAAACTGTTACCTACTTGAAGACTGTAATCATGTCGTCCCCCCCCTCAGTCTTCTCTTCTCCAGACTAAATAAAGCCTTTTTTTTTGTTTTTTTTTTCCAATCCTTCCTTGTAGGGCATGTTTTCTAGAGACCTTTAATCATCTTTGTTGCTCTCCTCTGGACTTTCTCCAATTTAGCCACGCACATCTGTCTGAAAGTGTGGAAGAATTGTGCTGGGTGTCCTTCCATTCAAGAGAGGACAAGCTTTGAGTGAAAATAGCCCCATTTTATTCATACCATATTGAATTGGTGGATATATATGCCTGCATGTTTTTGTGTACATGCCTCTACTTGGTGGAATTGCTTCTGTGTGTCATAGAACTACTGTTTCTAGCAAAGGAGGCTTCTCCTTTAGCTCAAGTGGTCAGGGCCTGATTTTTGCCTCTGGGAAGTCTGATTTATCCTGCTGCCACCTTGAAGTTCCACACAGCCAGATATGCAGCACAGTGACAGTTGTGATCTCCTGGGTCCCCAATGTAGCATTTAAATAGGCAACTTAGAAAATATTACTGTGTGAATCCCATTATTCCTGGCAAAAAGGCCTGCAAAGCTTATTTTTGGGGGATGAAGAGGTGGTGTCATGGGATGACCCAGAATGTCGAATTTTGTGTCCATCCTTAGTAATGTGTAATGTGCCAGGACTACTGAACTGGGCATGCTGGGCTTTGCTAAAAGTTAGAACCCTGCAAATCTGCGGGGTTGAGGATATCCATAGACTGTTTGTGGATTGCAGATCAGATACGGATATAAACTTCGTATCCACACATGATTCTACTTATAGTGGTAGGTGTGGGTACAGGCACTTTCAGTTGGGATGGGGGACAGGCACAAGGGGTGCAAGCACCCTCGATGGAGGGAGGGGAGGAGGCACTTGGGCTGTGGGCACCCTGGAAGGCTTGCGGGGAGGCCCACAGGCACTCCTGGTGGGGGAGGCATGTAGGGCACAGAGGTTTATTGGTTGCTTTCTCTTTTTGCAGGTGTTTTGACCAAAGGGAAGCAGCAGCAGGGACTTGGAGCTCCCTCCACTGTCGCTGTCAGAAGTTTTAGCCAATCAAATGCACCCTGACAATAAACTGACCAATCATGGAAAGACAGGTAACAGCGGCACCCAGTCTCAGCACCATAATGTGAGCCAAGGACCCACCTGCAACCTGGGGTCTAAGGGCGTGGGGGCGGGAAATCATGGCAGCAAAGCCAATCAGATTTCTCCTGGCAACTCTGGACTGAAAAACAGCCAGAACGCTGTCCCAAACTTTGGGTCCTTGAAGGGCAAAGTGAAACGGGAACGAAGCATCTCGGTGGACTCAGGAGAGCAGCGGGAAGCCAGCACCCCCTCACTGGACACAGAATCAAAAGGTAATGCTCAAAAACCTTTGCCTTGGAGAGATTGTCTCTGAACTGTCCCTCGCATCCTAGTGGGAACTGGGTGTGGAGCAGCTAAGAGCTTTCCCTGCAGCCTGTGATCCTGCAGTGCCCATGCTGGGCTAGCTAGGAGCTCCCCTACTCAGCCTGTGCTCCTGCACCCTTGGGCTGCCCTCTCCCTGCAGGTGGTGCTGGGACTGGAATAACTGTGAGCTCACTCATGGCCTGTGTTCCTACACTACTCCTCACAGCACCTTCTGCTGGGGAATGCTTGGATTGCACTGGTTGGCAGCGTCACCCCAGACACCCTACATACCCCATACTGGGCTCCATTTTGTACTTGCTTCTAGGGCCCTAGTGAGCTGCAGCATGTCATCAGGAGTTGTGGTGAAAATTCCCTAATAGTGCAGATTCCAAGCACAGAACTGAGACAGGTTTTGTTAATTGTCTAATTGCTGTTGCCAAAGATCTGACTCTTTGTGGTGCCCTTGCACGTGTTTTGTTTCTGCCCAGCCTTAGTTAGAGGGAGTTGGTGTGAGGGTCGCTGGTTGAAGAGTTAGTGGTTTTGTTTGCAGTGGATGACTTCTGAGTTAAATCACATGGTTTCTTGAAAAGGGCTGAGTCAGCACTTCCTGACCGTTGGCTTCCCTGTTCTAACCAGCCTCCCACAGCTTGTTGGGCCCTGCAGAGCACTGTGCCAAAGGGCTGCATGTGACACTCACCACAGCAGACCTGGGAGCATTTTGCCAGTGAGTTGCAAAGTGAGAACCTCAGGCAGTATCCTTGGTTCCTCTTAGGGGCCATCTTTACACCTGGTAGCCTGGAGCTGCTCTTCCCAGGAGTAGCACTGCTGCTCTGGCCCATATTCCAGCATGTCTCATGATCAAAGATCTGTTTAGGCTTCTATAGGAACATAAAAACTGGCGGGCTGGCTTGGACCAGAGCTGCATCCAGCCCAATGTCTTGTCCCTGACCATGGCCAGTGCCCGCTGCTTCAGAGGAAGGTGCAAGAAACACCATTATAGACTATGTCCTGCTTAAAAGGAAGGTTTCTTCCTCAGTGACAGTGGGAGGTTGGCTAATGCCCTGGAATGTGAGAGTTCATAGCCCTAGCTAATGGGATGGGAATGTTCTCATTATCCATGTAAATGTTCAATCCTTTATTGAATCCAACTATGCTTTTGGCTCAGTGTACTGAAGCATTGATTTGAACAGGTGAATTATTAAAATAACTCAGTCTAGAATGCCGGAATCTCCTATGTAACTTCTTTGGCCTCCCAATTCAGCTACAGCTCACTGATGTCTATCTTGAATCTGGCCTCTAAACACTGTTCTGTGTAAGAGGCTCAATGAGGGAGTGATGTTTTGGGGGTTACAGCAGAGGACTGGAAGTCACCACTCCTGGGTTCTATTCCTGGCTCTGACACTGACACCCTGTGTGACTTTAGGCAAGTCTTTCCCCCATCTCTGAGCCTCAGTCTATCCCTCTGTGTAATGGGGACAATACCCAGTCTTGCAAACTGCTTTGAGATCTTCAGAGTACAAGTGTCATAAAATGGCAGGGTATTATGGCACCAATCCCTCAAATGGCCCTAAATCTCCCTACCATTTCCACCCCTGGAAATCTCTGCCCCGCAACCTTGGGCTTAGTGCCAAAGCCTTCCCTCACTCGCAGCAGGAGCCAGGTAGCATTTGAGTATATGTAGGGCCCTACCAAATTCACAGTCTGTTTTGGTCAATTTCACAGTCATAGGATTTTAAAATAATAAATTTCATTATTTCAGCTATTAAATTTGAAATTTCACAGTGTTGTAATCGTAGGGGTTCTGACCCAAAAAGGAGGTGTGTGTGTGTGTGTGTGTGTGTGTGTGTGTGTTGCAAAGTTATTGTAGGGGGATGTGGTTCTGCTACCCTTACCTGTGCTGGTGGTGGTGGTGGCATTGCCTTCAGAGCTGAGCAGCTGGAGAGCGGTGGCAGCTGGCTGGGAACCCACTCTGAAGGTAGCACCACCACCAGCAGCGCAGAAGTAAGCATGGTATGGTATTGCCACCCTTACTTCTGCACTCCTGCCTGCAGAGCTGGGCCTTCAGTCAGCAGCTGCCACTCTCCAGCCACCCAACTCTGAAGGCAGCAGCACAGAAGTACGGGTGGCATGGTATTGTCACCTTTATTTCTGCATTGCTGCTGGCGGGGCGCTGCCTTCAGAGCTGGGCACCCAGCCAACAGCCGCCACGCTCTGGCTGCCCAGTTCTGAAGGCAGCGCAGAAGTAAGGGTGGCAATACTGCGACCCCCTCCTGCAACTCCCTTTTAGGTGAGACCCTCAATTTGAGAAATGTTGGTCTCCCCTGTGAAATCTGTATAGTATAGGGTAAAAGCACACAAAAGACCAGATTTCGCGGCCCGTGACATGTTTTTCATGGCCGTGAATTTGGTAGGGCTCTAGGTATATGGATTCCTTTCAAAGAATAATAAAGTATCTCGTATTCCAAGCTGCTTGTGTTTATAGAGCTGCAGCCTGAGATTCATCCTCTGAGGCAGTTGGCGAGGATGCTTACTAGCAAAGATATGTGCAGAGCTCTCTCTCCTGGTCACATGCCATGGATGGGCTGATGTGAATACAAGGCTCCACCCCCACCCCTAACCCCCTCCAAAAAAAAACATGGTTGCTGGGTTGGCAATGCTGATCCTTGCTGTATGTTACTCTTTCCTCCTGCCTGCTGGGTGGTCTTGGACACCTGTGGAACTGATTTCCAGGGATGCTGTGAAGGCCCAAAGTATAACTGGGTTCAAAAAAGAATTAGATAAGTTCATGGAGAATAGATCCAAAACTGGCTATTAGCCAAGATGGTCAGGGTCACAACCCCACATTCTGGGTATCCCTAACTCTCTGACTCCCAGAAGCTGAGACTGGACGACAGGGGGATGGATCATTTGATAATTGCCTATTCTGTTCATTCTGTGCCTCTGAAGCACCTGGCACTAGCCATTGTCGGATTACAGGATGCTGGGCTAGATGGACTTGGTCTGACCCAGTATGGCCGTTCTTATGTTCTGATGATGGTGAAACGGAACAGGCCAGGTTCCGAACGTGACAAAACCCTAGGAGAGGGACGCACTGCTCTCCCGCCTGTTGCCTTGTTGAGAGACCATTGAATCCATGAGGCAGGAAGCCATCTCTGGGGCAAAAGCTACATCCCTGCCCCAGTGCAGCATGTACCTGTTGCTTTGGCCTAGCTGAGCTTCTATGGTTGTTTTTTGCAATCATGTCCCTGCCCCCCCTTCCCCTTTAATTCTGCTCTGATTGGAACTAGTTGCCATTTTCTGGGGGCAGGAAGGGGTGGTTAGTAATTTTTCTTGTATGAAAACCAGTGGTGCATCTCTCCCTGCCAGTCACCATACACGGCTGCAGATTCAGGCCTCTGGGGAGAGAGTCTAAATGCTGAGGCCAAGATGTCAAGGGAGAGCGCTCATTGTGTCTGGCTGGGAGGAGAGCTGGGGAATGTGAACCCCATGCAGGGAGGGGAGTTAGAGCAGGAGCAATAAGGGAGAAGAACTTGGCTGAGACTGAGAGGGGAAAATTTGGGCTGGATGCCAGGAAAGTGCCCACGCAGTGAGATGGCTCAGGCTGGGGAATCGTCTCCCAAAGGGAGGGTAGGAGCCCCATTGCTTGGCACATTTCTGCTACTCAGGGCAAACCTCTGGGTGGGACCCTGCTGGGAACAATTCTGCTGCAGCCAGCAGGGAGATGGGAGTTGACAGGCCTCTAATGAGCCCCCATATCAGTCTGTTGTGCCAGACTGAGCTCTTGTGAATGGCAGAGACGGCTGGTATTGACTGAGGTTTCCTGATCAGCACTCCAGCAGCAGCTTTGCCTCCCCTGGCTAATGTCTGGGTCGCAGCTCCGGGATGGTGCTGGGGCTCCAGCAAAAGCTTCCGGATCCCTGACAAACAATCTCACGCTGTTTTAAACAGTTCTGTGGCAGCAGTTTGGACCCAGCTCAGGCTGTGATCCCATCCCTCCCCATAGGTGAGGAATGACTGCATTGGAGAACGGGTCCTGGTAGCAGGCTCCCAGCCTGGGCTCTGACTGCTAAATGTCTCTTTGCAAAGCCATGCTAGCAGGGCCTCACCCACAGCACAACCAGGGCCTTGCTGCAGGCACATCACAGTTCAGCCAATGGTCTCTGGGCAGAGATGGAAATGCTGCTTCCAAGTTGTGCACTGTAGGAGGGAGACTCGATGCAAGTCCTGCACTATTTGGGGATAGCAGGGCTTCTGACCCACGTAGGGCTGTTCAGTCATTGGGCAGGAGTCCACATGGCTCCATGCTGGGTGGGATTGCTGTGGTTTAGTGCAAGAAGCAGACAGTGGCTGGTTGTCAGGGCCAGGGTGATGCCTGTCACAGGGAGCTGAACTCTTGTACATCTGCCCCTCTGTTCATTGGACTCCCCCGGCTGGTTTTGCTAGCATGACCCTAAGTGCCAGGAGATGGTGGGGCAGAGCCCCAGCCTACTCAGTCCATGGCTGTGCCGTGGCACTCTCCGCTTTCTGACAGGTTCTGTCCCATTGCAGGTGAGGTGGCTCCCCGCAGCAAGCGTCGGTGTGTGCTGGAGAGGAAACAGCCATACAGCGGGGACGAATGGTGCTCAGGCCCGGACAGCGAGGAGGACGACAAACCCATCAGCAGCACACACAGTGAGTATCCCCTCCCCAAACAGCCCCGAGATCACTGCATGCCTAGTTCCTGCCCTGGAGTCTGTCAGAGACGGCAGCGATGGCAACCAAAGGCTCCCAGAAGAAGCTGTCTGCTGGCTTAACAGGGCGCTTGGTGAGGCGTGTGTTGATGCTGCAGGGTTATGGTATTGCACACAGTGTGGGTATATTGTGAGGGAGGTGTGGTGTGGTGCTCTGCAGGTGGATTTTGTGCAGTGTGGTTTAGATGGTGGTGTGCTGGAGGATTGTTGAATGCAGTGTGAGGGTAGGAGGGGTTGGTGTGTGATATGGGACTGGATCAGTCCCCCAGCCCTCTTGGCCCTGTCTCCACGAGGGGATATTCCCCCCCAACCCCCATGACAGGTGGGCTGGCCACGCTGGGCTGTTGTGCATGGCTGGCACTGACTTGGCTTCAGTGCTGTTTTGCAGGCCAGTGGGCATGCACAGAGTTCATCATGTTCTGTGAGCGCTGTGCTGCAGAGAGTGCCTCCCGCATGGATTTAGATCCCTGTTCACACTGTACTGTCAGACCATCCACTCTGGAGTCACTACAACCCTGCTTGCAGGGGGTTGTGCTCTGGCATCGAGGGAAATGCTCAGGGCCTGCCAAGAATCTGGACAGGGCTGAGTTAACCAGATTGCACTGCACACTGCCTTAATTTCTGATCAAGGCTTTAAATCAAGTTAAAAGCTTGCTCTGAGGCCCTGACGGTTTTTATTGTAAGTCTCTGGGGAATGGTGACGTTTTATCAATAGGTTTCATGTGACTTTTAAGCCTCCGCTTCCTCATTTCCCCCATCTCGGTCCTCCCTCCCGACCCATTGGAATCTCATATGTTAAAAAAAGTGTCATTTTGTGTTTAGCTGGAAGCTGAGGCACTTCCCTCGGCCTAATAAATAGCACAGTGATCTGACATGTCTGTGTGGGGGTGGGTTGTGAACAAACTGAAGGTCCCTCCTGCCTTCCAGAAACAGGAAAATCCTTTGATTTGTTGCATTTTGAATTCAACTGTTTTCAAACTGTGGAAGTGAAAATATTTTTGATGCAGCTGGGTCAGGTCCATTTGGGTCCATCCTTCACATTCTCACTCTTCATCCTGCCAATGGCTTTCCCAACAGACAAGTTCCCCAGCTGCTGGAAGAAAAAGCTAGATTTGTTTCCCTGGATCCATCTATCCTATTCACTTCCCTTTCTCTCCAGAATTGTGTTTAAATTCTGCTCACAGCAACTGGAACATGGTAAAGTCATTAAGAAAAGTGTGAAGCTAAGAGTTTGTGAATCAGAGCAATTGCCCCTAAAATGATAGAGGAGATTTTCCTAGATCAATATTCATGATGGTTTGTATTTCTTAAAACTCCAGACGCTTTTAGCCATGAATACCTCCCCCACACCCTCTCCGACCCAGGCTCCCAATTTGACATAAGGGACTCACGTTGTTATCTTCTCCATCCACATAGCTGCAGTCTTAGCTTTCAGTAAAAAGACTGTACAGGGTAAAGACTGGTTTGCCACATACTCTGAAGTATGCTTCCAGTTATTGAAGCAAAATGCATGCTATATATCCACTACAACATGAACCCCTCTCCTGAAATATGTGCTAACCTCAGAATAGCCAAGAGCACATTGCAACAAACATCAAGGCAACGTGCTCAATCGTACTGGCTCTCTCTCTCTCTCTCTCTCGCTCTCTCTCTCTCTCTCTCTCTCTGTGAAAAGATACAAATGTCCTTTGAGAATGGAGATCTAAGAGGATGATGGAATCAAGAAAGCAATAGTACCTTCAGCCAGGAAGATTGCCCACTCAAATCTCTTAATGGAGACGACATCATCAACAGAAGCAAATAGATGCAGTATCACAAGCTCTAGTCACATGAAACCACTCTTTCTGAAGCAGCGCTAAATGCAGTCCCCAGGCTTCTATATCAAACTCTTTGATAGTCTGAACCGTCTATAAATGAGCTTGAAAAGGCAATCACCTCCCTAGTACCAGGAAAGGCTACAGGAAAAGAAGGAATTCCAGCTGAAGTACTGGAATAAGACTTAAACATCTGCCCAATGTCTTGTTTGCCTGGTGGAGGGAAGGAGGGGTATTGCAAGACATGAATGATGCCAACATCATAATGCTGTATAAAAACAAAGGAGAATGGAGTGATTGCAAAAACTACAGAGGAATCTCTTTCCTTAGGATTGCTGGTAAGGCATTCGCACAGCAATCAACTTCAAAAGACTCCAGGTTCTTGTTGAACGCATATATTCAGAGAGTCACTGTATCTTCCGTGCCAGTAGATCAGCTATCCACATAGTCTTCATTAAGGCCGCTACAAGAAAAGTGTCAAGAACAAGGAAAAGCTCTCTACATGGCTTTCATAGATCTTACAGAGGCTGTTGACCTGGTCAGCAGAATGGGTCTTTTCCAATTGCAAGAGAATTTGTTGCGCCTCCTCCCCCACCCACAGTCCTCCTCAGTCTAATTCAATCTTTCCACAATGGCATGAAGGCTACAGTCCAATATGATGACGATCAATCTGACTGCTTTGTAATCCACAGTGGTATTAAACAGAGATATGTTTTGGCACTAACACTTTTCGATATATTCTTCTCTCTGCTGCTTTGTCATGCTTTCTCATCTAGCACTGAGGGTGTACGGACAACACTTCAACATTGCACATATAAGAGCTAACAGCAAAGTCAAACACCTGCTGATAAGGGAACTTCTTTGTGCTGACAGCGCACTGTTTGCCGCACACAGTGAAGAGGACCTTTAGCAACGTGGCAGTAGCTTTGCACTAGCTTGTGACAAATTTGGACTAATCATTGGTCTAAAGAAGATCATGATTATGGCACACATGTGTGGACTGCACCAAAAGTTTTAATAGCTAGTACCATGCTAGAATTTGTCACAAGCTCTGCTATCTAGGATCAACTGTTCTGGATAACCTACCTCTATATGATGAGCTTAATTCTCACATTGGAAAGGCAGCCACCAGACCCACACCAAGGGTATGGGTCTACCAGCTGTGCATTTTAATTACACTGCTGTATAGTGGCAAGATTTGGACCACCTACAGTGGACATGAGTAGGCTAAACACCTTCCACACCCATTGTCGTCTTCATATTCTAAATATCAAGTGAGAAACCAAAGTTTCTGACACCAAAGTACCTGAGAAAGCAAAATTGCCAAGTCTAATCACTAATCTTAAACACAGTTGCTGGCATTGTCATCTGCAATGGATAGATGATGGGCGCATTCGGAAGGATCTCCTGTATGGAGAATTTGTGGATGCTCCAAGGCCACTGGGCCAACCTAGGCTCAGGCTCAAGGATGTTTCCAGGAGTGACTTCAAAGCTTTTAATATAGACGCTACAGGGTGGGACGATGCAGCTAACAGGCCATATTGGTGAGCTGCCCTGCACCAGGGAGTCAGAGGCTGAAGAGATGTGGTTGAGGGAGAGGAAAGTGAAGGCAGCAAAGCACAGCAGCCTCAAAGTCTTAGTAGTGCACTAGCTTCCTCTTCTGGCCTTGCGCCTTCTGCCTGCATTATTTATGGCAAAGACTGTTGCTCAAGAATTGGATGTTTTAGCCACTTGCAATGTTGCAGCACAACACACAGTAACTGAACTTATTTGGCTGTTTCACTGTCAACTTTCAAGGCTGCCATTCCATGTTAATGCTTCATAAAGTTGTATGGGAGTCTGACTATCTTTGCTGCAGGAAAGTTGCCAGTTGGAAATGCGCATTTCTGCATCACCCTAGAGCGAGGATCCTCCCCTCTGCTGTGCAGGCCTACAGCTGGGTGCAGAGCAAGGCAGGCAGGCAGTACAAAGAAAATGGACAAGCATACAAGGAGCTGCAGAGTTGCCCTTGTGTCTGACTCAGTGCAGTGCAAACAAACAAGGGCTTACAGCAAGTTGCTGTTCAAGGCTCCTCCCTTTAGATCACTGGGTTTGAGGCAGTATAGCCCAGGGCACTAGGCTGGAAGTCAGGACTACTGGGTTCTCTTCTTGGCTCTGCCACAGATTCACTGGGTGACCTTTGGCAAGTCACTTCTCCTCTGTGCCTCAATAGAAAGGGATAACGCTGCCCTGCCCTTTACAAAACACACTGTGATCCATGGGTGAAAGGTGCAAGGTAAGACTAACTGCTATTTCTGAGGCTCGCTGTAAGCAGATTGTCAGGATGCTGCCATGTGTGACAAGCTGGAGAACAAATGGCCATTCTGTTTAAAATGGCTGGATTTTAACAGTTCTGCATAGAATTTTGCCAACTCAGGCACCATGATCCCCATAACATGGGGAGGAGTGAGCCTTCCTCAGACTGCCCCCATGACCGAGACAAGAGCCTGGTTCCCCTCCCAGCACAGAGACTCTAGGGAGTCTTGCTCAGAGACACAGGGTAGTCTGGACAGTGCACAGAGGAAGCTCTGGGTGAATCCTGGCTTTGAACCATTCCGGCCTCATCCTTTATTTAATGCCAGAACCTTGTAGTTCACATGAAGGTGCAGTAGCTCTGCACTCCCAGTCAAGTTCAGGGCCTGGGAGGATGAGTGTGGCTCTGGCTTCAAGGGGGCTTTGTGCAGGTGGAAGTGCTAATGCAGAATATCTACTAACTACCCTCCAGCTGTCCATAGGGCGCTGTGCAAATGCAAAGCACTAAGTGTTGTTGTTAATTACAATTATTATTAATATTAAGTAGGAGTATTATTAAATAATTGATAGTGATTAATTATTATCACTCCAGTGTGCCGTGTTCCCGGAGCGTCTCTCTGGAAATTGCCCTGGAAGGGGAAGGCTGCGGGTGTTTGGGGCCGATCACTCACCAGGAGGGAAAATGAAGGGGAGGAACTAAGCCACTCCCTGCTCCTCACATCTCTCTGGGAGGCTGTAGATATCCAGGCCCAGAAAAATCCCTGTTGTGTGCTGCCATCTGCTGGAGGCTGGGGGAATGCATAGCCCTGCCCTGCTGGCGGGAAGATGCAGGAGAGAGGCCCTGCTCCCCAACACATGCGTTTTTTGTTCTTTCCTGTGTTTTGTAAGGGGATAAACTTCAGGGTAGAATGTTAGACCAAAGAGACTGAATCCTCTCCTCACACGCACCTCTGACACTGCCCCACAATCCTGATACTCAGACTCCCTGCTACTTCCGTCCTGGGCTCCCTCGACACGCACATCTCTGCCAGTGCCTCTCATTCCCAGCTTGCAGATCCCACTATCCCAGCCCCAGGCTCCCCCACACCATAGGCAGCTTTGCAGGTTCCCCTCAATCCTGACCCCCCAGACTCTTGTTATTCCAGCCCTGAACTCCTGTGTTATACCCACCTCACTCTGGTAATTGCCCTTAGTCCAGACATTCAATGTGTGCTGTTTAGCTCTGGCATCCTGCGCGGTGCTTCCCAGCAGTTTGTCTTATGCTGATTGTTGGTAACAGCTGCTCTCTCCTGTGCCCTCTGCAGACTGTAATGTAGCAGATCCTGCAATGTCCACAGCCCCGCAGCTTGGTCCTGGGTCCAACCCGCTGCCGAACCTGAATGAGACCAGTTCTTCCAATGCACCACATGGCGCTGCTCCTGGCCTGCGACCCGATGCTGGGGGCAGTGGAGGTGGTGGTGCCGGAAAGCAGCCTTCCCAGTTTGTTTACGTCTTCACCACTCACCTTGCTAACACGTAAGCGGTAAACCCCTGTGTCCTCCCCAATCCTCCCCATTGGCTCTGGCCGCTTGGATTGTTTTACCACAGCTGCCTCCTACATGCTGCAGTTAGCACTGCAGCCTCTGGAGAAGGTGGGGACTGGAGGTTCCCTGGGTTGCCCCTAGCATGACCTCTCCCATCACCCCCCCAATCCACATTCTCCCTAGCATAGTTGTCAGCTGCTGGTGGAGAGATTTCATCTTAAATGTGAGCTGCCTCCTGGTAGTGCCCTAGCCCTGCCAGCTGCAACAGGAGCCACAGAGTGCATTTGGCCAGATGTATAATAAAAGGTCATAGGAGTACTGAAACACGTGTTGGCTGCTGCCAGAGGCAGGATACTTGGTTAGATGGATTAGTGGTGTGATCTGGAAGGGCCCTGGGAGAACAGATTGCAGTGGGAGGCACTGGGTGCTAACGCTCCAGATTACTGGGTGCCCTCGACTTGCTCCCTTCATTCTTTTGCAGTATCTCAACTGCTGATTCTCGGGGAACATATAGCTTTAGAGTGCCTGCTTAGGTCATAGCTAGAGTCCTGTGAAATTCTTTTTATTTTTTATAATTTTTCCTTTTATTTTTCGGGAACTTTGTGCTGTTTTATCCATGTGGGAGGGGCTGTGTCCTGCCCCCAGGAGAAGTGGGAGGCCCTGAGGGGGCACAGAGCGAGCCTGCCCCACACTCACCCCATTGCAGCAGCTCCTATCCTGCAGGACCTCCTCACTCTGAGTGTTGAGACCTGGCACACGGCGTCACAGTGCTGCTCAGATTTGGCCCAGCTGCCCCTCCATCGTGAGGACCGGGGTGTGGCTAGGCCAAATTTCAGTGAGTGGTGCTGCAACATCATCTGCTAGGTCACAATGCTACTCACTCAGATTTGGTCCGGCTGCACTCCCCCATTCCTTCCTGTTATGATGGCAGAGGGATGGCCAGGCTAAACCTGAGCAGCATTGTTACCCTGTGCGCCAGGTCACAAAGCCCGGTGCAAGGAGCTGGGCCCAGCCCCTGCTGTACAGTGATTTTTTTCATTTGATAGTTGTTTTTGCTTTTATTTTGTGTTATTTCACATTTGCAAAGAACATGGGGTTCTAGTCCTAGCATATCCCAGTGTCACCCTCCCAGGCTATATCCCTCTGACAGCACACAGCAACCAGTGCAGAGTCCAGCACAATGCACAGTTCAGGGGGTGGGGAAGGGGAAATTGCAAGGCAGATGTTTTCCTGTCAGAGAGATGCCCTGAGATCTGTGCAGAAGACAGGGAAGTTCAGTGCCAACTCTCCTCTGAGATTCCACCTTGAGCCCAGGGGGCTTGGGCATTCCACTAGGGGGCCAGCAGGCAAAGGGAGCCCTGCTGGGAGTTCTGAGCCTGTGGACCCAGGTTGTTGCTAAGTATTTCTGGCTTGACACTTTGCTGTTCTTGACTGGCTGCTCTCTCTCTTAGTGCCGCAGAAGCCGTCTTGCAGGGGCGAGCAGACTCCATCCTGACCTATCATCAGCAGAATGTACCCCGGGCAAAGCTAGACCAGGTATGGCTGGGTGTGAGCCAGACACTCCTGTCTGTGCATGCTGCTGGCTAATGTCCTCATGGCCAGTCACACCCTGACCCCACTTGCAGCTCACATTCTTTCAAGGGGGATGGGCTCAGTTGGCTCTTGTGGGGATTCAGGGCTCGAAGCCCACCCAAGGTCTGGGGCTATACACCTGCCTTACGTGTTTCTTGCTAACTTTGGCTTCCCCTTTCTATCACAGGCTCCGGCTCCCAAGGTACTGGGAGTCGCCGAGCAACTGGCAGTTAACCCACCTGCCTCCAGCACTCCACAGTCCCAGCCCCCAGCATCGCAGGGCAACCAGGCACAGCCTCAGCCCCCCCCAGCACAGCCCCCCCCACCCCAAAGCATCAGTCAGCAAGCTCTGCCTGCACCAACTACCCTAGCCCAGGAAGGGACGGGAGAGGACATTCGGCGGGACCTGACTCCCAACTCTGTGGGAAATAGCAGCAGCAGCACCCAGCCAGGGAGCAACCACCCCAACACGCCCAACGCCTCCACCAACCCGATGCAGCCTGGGCAGGTGGACTCTTCTAGTGCTTCCAGCTCTAACTTACTGGGGGATGGTGCCAGTGCTGGGGCAGGCGGAAATGGGCAGGTAGTGCTGGGCCCCAGGAACCCTATGAACTCAGAGGGGCTCTCTAAGGAGCAGCTGGAGCACCGGGAACGCTCCCTGCAGACCCTGCGGGACATTGAGCGCCTGCTGCTGCGCAGCGGTGAGGCCGAGCCCTTCATGAAGTCCAACCAAAGTGCTGGTGAGGGTGGCCCCACTCCCCAGCCGCAACCCCCACCCACCCAGCCACCCCTCCCACCTGCGGGCATGAAGAAGTATGAAGAGCCCCTGCAGTCCATGATTTCACAGACGCAGAATCTGGGGGGCCCCAACTTGGAGCATGAGGTCCCCCACCACCCAGGCTCTGACATGGGGCAGCAGATGAACATCATGATGCAGCGGCTGAACCAGGACAGCCTGACACCAGAGCAAGTGGCCTGGAGGAAGCTGCAGGAGGAGTATTATGAGGAGAAGCGGCGGAAGGAGGAGCAGATCAGCATCCATGGTCGACCTATGCAGGAGATGATGATCCCACAGTCCATGGGTGGCATGATGATCCGGGGGCCACCACCACCCTATCACAGCAAACCAGGGGAGCCGTGGCCTCCAGGGATGGGCAGCCAGCTAAGGGGGCCCATTGAGGTCCAGGACCCCATGCAGATGAGGGGAGCACCCCCCTTCCCAGGGCCAAGGTTCCCTGGAAATCAGATGCAGAGGGTCTCTGGCTTTGGCGGGATGCAGAATGTGCCCATGGATGCCCTTGGGCCCATGAATGCTATGCAGCGGCCAGTCAGGCCTGGCATGGGATGGAATGATGATATGCCTCCAATAGGAGGCCCAGGGAACTTTCCACAAGGGAGCCTGCCCTATCCTTCAGGGCAAGGGGACCCTGAGCGGTTCATGAACCCTCGAGCCAGGGAGGAGATCCTGAGGCACCAGCTGATGGAGAAGCGCCCGGTGGTGATGCAGAGGCCCATGGGGATGTCTGGCAGCTCCATGAGCCAAGGTTTGGAAATGGAGAGGATGATACAGGCTCACAGGCAGATCGACCCGTCCATGTTCCCTGGACAGATGCCAGGAGAGAGCCTAGGTGGCACACCCATAGGTATGGACTTCACGGGTACCCGGGGGATATTGAGCCCACCCATGAGCCAGTCGAGCCTCCGAGACATGGATGCGCCCATGGGACCTGGGAACCTCAACATGAACATGAATGTCAACATGAACATGAACATGAACCTCAATGTCCAGATGACCCCACAACAGCAGATGATGATGTCGCAGAAAATGAGGGGCCCTGACATGATAGGCCACCAGGGCATCAGCCCTGAGGATCTGGCCAGGGTGAGGGCTCAGAATGGTAGTGGTGGCACAATGATGGGGGGGCCACAGAAGATGATGATCCCCTCACAGTTCCCCAGCCAAGGGCAGCAAAGCTTCTCAGGTGGGCAGGGCCCCTATCCAAGCATGCCCCAGGAGATGGGCAGTGCCCCAGACATGTTCAGCCCTGAACAGGGTGCCATGTCCATTGGGAACATCGGCGGCACCACCAGGCTCAGCCACATCCCTTTGCCGCCAGCTTCCAATCCCCCTCCCACCCAAGGGGGCAACCTAGCCAACATGCACCCGGCACCCTCACGGGGGCTGGGCCGCAGGCCCTCCGACCTCACCATCAACATCACCCAGATGAACTCCCCTGGCATGGCCCACCTCAAGTCCCCAACTCTCAGCCAGGTGCACTCACCGCTTGTCCCCTCCCCATCTGCCAACCTGAAGTCTCCCCAGACGCCCTCGCAGATGGTCAGCATGCCACCTTCCAACCAGTCTGGGCCCCTGAAGTCGCCCCAGGTGATGAGCTCCTCCCTCAACGTCAGGTCTCCCACCAGCTCACCAAGCCGCCTGAAGTCCCCTTCCATGGCCGTTCCTTCACCCGGGTGGGTGCCATCTCCCAAAACCACCTTGCCAAGTCCAGGAGTCAGCCAGAGCAAGCAGCCTATCAGCATGAATTCGTCAGCTTCCATGGGAGGGCTGGATCAGGGTAAGCTGTGCTAAACTGTGTATGTGAGTGGGATAGGGCCATAGAATTAAACCTGGTGCTCCAAAGGTCTCTGCACATTGCTGGTCACTCTCATAGGGCCCAATAATTCTGTGGCTTCCAGACCCATATTTTCCATATACTCAGACTAGTAGTGATTACGTGACTATTTCCCTGCAGGGCAGTGGTGGGAACCTGCCTTCCCATAGCCAGCTCTCCCTGTGCTGGGATTTGGGGCCCAAATCTCTTTGATTTGGGGTTGGCGAGTGGGCATCTAGGGCCCATGGGGATGTCTGGCAGCTGGAAGTGCTGTGATAGCAGCCCAGTTCCTTTTCCAAAGGGATAGAACACACCATCTCCCTTTCTGTGCCATGCACCAGGCCTCAGGGCAATGTGGCTCAGCATCGGGAAGAAGGGAGCAAGAGCCTAGATTAGGGGAAATGCATACACTCTGGAGAGGGACTGCTCTTTCCTGGTGGGCTGAATGAGCCTGGCCTGCCCGACACATGCAAGCCTGCATTTGCTTCTTCTGGGGATTAATGCCAGTGATTTGCTGTGCCCCACCCCACCCCCTGATGCTGTGCTTTCTTATTCACAAGGAGGAAAACAGAGTAGGCAGCCTAACGTGCACTGTAGAGGTTTGGAGGGAGACATTGGACCAAATTAGAAATGGGGAGCCAGGATGCCAGCATTCCCAAATCCCTCTGCTGAGTGGCTCATGCTCTCCAGGGTTGGGTAGGGATGGAAAAATGGATTGATGGGAGACAGAGTCCTTAAACATGTGTCCTGACTTGAGGAAGTGCACTGAGAGGAGGGGACAGTGGGTATGTGTCTGTCACTGAGCAAACCTGTCTTGGTGCATTCCAAGGGTTGGGGGGATTGCAAGATGTGTCTGGCCAATGCCCAGCTCCCTGCATTTCCTTGTGTTTCTTTTCTCAGGCCCCAGGTCCTGTTGTCTGGGGAGACATTTTTCAGGTAGATCAGAATTTAATCCAGTTATTTATGCAGGCAGCATTGTCTAATGGTCAAAGCAGAGTCTGAGAGTCAGGACTCCAGAACTCTAAGGCTTGCTCTGCCACTGTCACCTTGGGCAAGTCCCTTCACCTCTTGGTGCTTCAGTTTCCCCTGGCCCTGACTTGAGTCTTTCATTGTCCCTCTGATGATATGACAAGGATTCCCCATCCCCACTTTCTTTCTTCTATGGCCACTCATATAGGGGTAACAGGACGGGCTAGAAAGCAGGGTTCCTTCCTAGGTACTAGGGGGCTGGTTCACCTCTCTCCCCATGCCTTCTAGCAAGGTTAACACCTCTCCCCAGCAAACCCCCACCCCATTCCCCTGTACAAACAGGCTGTTCCTATCCATGCCTACTTGCTTGAGGAGGCCTTGGGTGAATGCAGAGCCATTGCCCACCAGGGTAATTTGCATCCTCACAATACACACTGAGTGCCGGAAACCTACCCACAGCTACATCCAGGGAAGGGATGTCAGGGTAAGGCCCCTGAGGTATCTAGTGCTGGAAGAACGGTTCCAGGTAGCCCTGCATGGTGCAGGCAGCATGTGCTCAGAGCTACTTAGTGCAGTGGCGTCAGTCCCATCTTGTACTCCACCCAGAGCGGATTGTCGGCCAGGCCACCAACTGCTGCATTTTTCTTACTCACGCTTGGCCTCCGCACACTTGACATGCACACGCATGCCCCAGTTTCTGACTTCTTTCTGTTCGCTCTTGAAGTTACTGTGTATTTTGCCCCCAGGCATCCAGCGGGAACTTTAAAAAGAAGCAGGTAGGGGAAAGGGGCAAAGTTTTCTGTATCCAGGTCTAGAAAAAGGCCTCAAACTCAGTGCCTTCCCCTCAGCACCTGCCCCTCCCCTTCTTCAGTTCATGAGGGAAGGGCCAGAGCTTGGAAGTTGGGACTAGATCAGATCTAACTCCCCCATAGTTTGGGGTGACTGGCTCTGGTGTCAACCATAGCAGGTGGTCCCAGCACAGAACTTCCCCAGAGTCCATAGGGGGTTTTGGTTGGGGGCCAGGCCTGGTTTAGGTCTATCACTGTTCCAAGCAGAGAATTGGGGATGCTGCCCGATGGGAGCAGGCTGCAGCTTGCAGGGAGCACTAAGCTGGTCTCTCTCTCTCTCTCTCTCTCTCTCGCTTGCAGGTTCGCTCCCTCCTGGGCCTAGGAGCAGTTCCTCTGCGCCAGCCAGTAATCCCTCTAGCACCATGAATCCCAACATACCTTTTACTTCCTCTCCAGATCCATCCCCCTCCCAGAACCCCCTCTCGCTGATGATGTCACAGATGTCCAAGTATGCCATGCCCAGCTCCACACCACTCTACCACAATGCCATCAAAACCATCGCCACCTCTGATGATGAGCTGCTCCCAGACAGGCCTATGCTCCCACCAGGAAGTATGCCAGGTACGTTCTTCTGGGACTGTGTATGCGCCAGCAGGGAGAGCAAGCTGGAGCTGGGCTTTATAGGGGTAAGACTGGTCTTGTGGCTCACACACAGGCCTGGGAGGCAGAACACCTGGGTGTGGTTCTGATGCTCAGAGTGGAGATCAGGAATTCTATTCCCAGCTCTGCCACTGACTTCTTCTGTGGCTTTGGACAAGTCACTTAACTTGTCTGTTCCTGTTTCCCTATCCGTCCCTGCCTCTGTTGGAGATGGGGCTCAGTGCATTGATGACTAGAAAGTACCTTGAGGACATGTTGTAGAAAAGTGTGTTAATTGAGTGTCAGAATAGGAACAGACACATTTGGAGCTGCAAAGCAAGGAGAACGAAAGGGTTAATTGAGTCAGATGAGAGCATTTATCCTGTGGGGAAGAGAAGAGTCTGTTCCAGGCACAGGGAGAAGCCTGAGGAAGAAGTTGGACAAGGGAGAAGACTCAGTGAGCCCTCTACAGGGACAGGACAGGGTGTAATCCTTGTTGTGCACCATGCTGTGGAAGGATCACTCCTTTCCAAATGTATGACTTAATATAGTAGAGACTCCATGGCTGCATCCTTGCTGTGGCCTCTCAAAATGTCACAGAGGCAGCAGGTTAGAACCCAGGATCGCCCACTCCAAAAGCATTGGCCTGACCAACTGAGTTCAAGGAAAATTACTATCTGTTAGTAGTATGGGGCCTTGACACACAGCAAGCAATTCCGATTCCAGCCAGCAGAGGGCAACAGTGCCATATACACACCAGCCAGTTAATTGCCGTATAATACAGTTGGGTTATTAATGGTAACTGTAGTCATTGTAAGTCCACCAGCATGCTAGGGGTACAGGTTATTGCAAGGGTTACATCTCCTTAGGTGAGACATAGGGATGTCAGGTCTGAGGTATGGGTGTCTTAGCCTGTCCTGAGTGTCTTGATGAGTGTCTTGGGCTCCCAGTGTTCTCACTAGCACAAGTAAAAGCAATGGAGCCCGTCCAGCTGTCCTGCATTCAGGTGTAACCAAAGGCCTTGGGGAAACTCTAGCTCCCTGGATACTATTGACTAAGCTCCTTAAATGGAACTGCTGAACTGGCTTCCCAGGCTGGTTTCCCAGCTTGCCGCAGCTTTGCAAAGGCATTGGGTGCTTCCAGAACCTGGTGCGAAGCTGGCAAGTGTTTGTTTGCTTGGCATTGGCAGATGTGGTGCTGTTCTGCCATCTGCTTCTTACTGACTGGCCAGGGCCAGCTGCTGCCTTTTCCATGTGCCATTGATCTGCCTGGCAAACATAGCGAGCACAGGAGACACTAGAGTTTCTAGCCCAGCACACAGCCAAGATCAGCTGGGGGTAAAACAGATAATGGGAGATGCAGCGTTCATGTGGGTTACATGTACATCCCCATGTCCGGTGGGGATGATGTAACACCCCCTAGATCTTACTTATCTCCCTATCCTCTTTGTCATCTCCTCTCTGCCCCCACATGCCCAGTGTTCCTCCCTCAACCATCTGCTGAGTGTTGTCTCTGGGATGGCAGCCCATGCTCTAGTACTTGGCCACTCCCCTTGTTTGAGTCCTAGACCTAGGTTTCCAGGAACCGTGTTTGCCCTGCTTAGAGGAAGGAGGGGGCTGTGACCATTGGGATGCCCTTAAATTTTCCCCTCCCACCAGAGATGTCCCATCATCACCACTATCTCCAGCCCAGAGCTCTGCTGTGTAGGACACCTCAGATGGTCTCAGCAGGGTATGTCCCAGTGGAATGGGAAAGCCTGAGCGGGGACTGGGCTATCCAGTCCATGCAGAGTCCCAGTGCCTGCACAGTCAGAGCTGAGAGAGAGGCATAATCTGAGAACTCCTTAGTTCTGATTTCAGAAAGTCTTTCTGACCTCCACAGTGGGAGGCCCACACCTCCCTCCCATGCTGGCTGTGAGCCTTGTGTAAGCCAGGCAGTGCTGGGCGCTAGGTGGGTAGCTGTGCTGTCCTTCTCAGTATCCACCACTGGGGGGCACGTTGGAGCTGCACAAAGGTTGCCAACTAAGGGCTGTGCTGAGGGTGTTCCTTGTGCTCAACACAGTAGAGAGGTTGCTGTGCTGTACTGTCCCAGCCTGCCTAGCAACAGAGGGGAACAGGATTTGCTGGGCTGGTAAGAGCCACAAGCCCCATGTATGGCCAATGACCGACTGAGTCTTGCGGTAACATCCCTTGAACCCCACCTATTCCCTGCCTGCACTAGGCCAGCTCTGAGGTCTGGAGCAGCTCTCATCAGAAGCAGCAGCACCTACCAGCGGGCCCTCTTAAGGCAAGTCTACACTGCATCTGGGAGTGAGCCTTCCAGCCCGGGTCCACAGACTCACGCTAGCACTCTAAAAATAGCTGTGTAGATGTTACAGCTTGGGCGGGAGCTCAGGCTCTGATGCCTGGGGTGGGCTTGAGAGCCAAGCTCCAGCCACAGTAGCAACTTCGAAGTACCATCTACACCGCTATTTTTAGAATTCTAGCACGAGTCTGTGGCCCCGGGCTGGAGGCTGGCTCCCACATGCAGTGCTGATGTGCCGTTACTGCCTCAGTGAGAGAGGGAGGGGCTGGCCTCCCAAGCATGTGCTCTGTGGTGCTCCCCTCTCCCCTGTACAGCCTAGCACCTGGCTGGTATGGGGCAGGGTGTGATGCTGCCATGGCAATGAGGTACTGGGTGAGGGTATTGAGCAGGTATCAGGTCTGACAGCAGAGTCCCCTGGGCTTAGGGACTCTTTCGTTGACCTTACTGCCCTGATGGACCCTCCATGGCAGACCCTCTCCATGGGTCTAGCAGTGAGAGCAGAGCTGGGCCAGGTTTGAACGCTCCAGGGAACCTGGCTGGAGCTGATCTCAGCTTAGATGCTGATTTCAATGGAGAGAGCTGCTAGCACCAGGGACATACTCTCTGCATGCGGTGGGAGGAGGTGCATGGGTATTGAGTTAACTCTCTTTCTCCCCTTCATTAGGTATCACAGGAAATCAGCCAAATCAACTGCACTTGAACTCAGTGGGGCCTGCATCCTCGCAGAGTCCCATGGGGATGAACTTGCCTGGCCAGCAGCCACTCTCCCATGAACCCCCCACGTCCATGATGTCCTCGCCGAATCCCCTGGGCGCCAACATTCCGATGCACCCTGGTGCGCAGGGGACGGGTGTGCCCCCCCCAAACCCCATGATGCTGCCTCCAGGGCCCCAGGACTCCTTGAACCAGCCCTGCGGCCCTGTGCCAAACAATTCTCAGATGATCCCTTCCAACCAGCTGGTGTTCCCCCGCATGCAGCAGCCCCACAATGCCATGCAGTCTCCAGCTGCGGGTATGCCCATGACACCAGGAGGTGGGGGAGGGGCTGGGATTCAGCAACATTACCCGCCTGGGATGCCCTTGCCACCAGAGGACCTTCCCTCCCAGCAGCCTGGCCAGATGCCCCCCCAGCAGCACATGCTGGGCAAGAACATCCCTCCTCGGATTGGAGATCCCTACCCCCCTGTGCTTCCGGGTGTGGCTTCAGTGCTGAATGACCCTGAGCTCAGTGAGGTCATCCGCCCCACACCTACGGGCATCCCTGAGTTTGACCTTTCCAGGATCATCCCTTCAGAGAAGCCGAGCAGCACCTTGCAGTATTTCCCCAAGAATGACAGCCAAGCACCGAAATCACAGCCTTCCAACCTCCACCTCATGAACCTGCAGAACATGATGGCTGAGCAGCCACCCACGCGGCCAGGCATGAGCACCCCCAGCCTTCCAGGGCAGCAGGGCATGCAGCGGGGACTCAACATGTCTATGTGCCACCCTGGACAGGTGTCCATGCTGGGCAGGACAGGTATGCCACCCCAGCAAGCCATGATGGGGAACAGCATGCACCAGGGCATGATGTCCCCCCAGCAAAGTCTGATGGCCCAGCAGAATTTCATGCTGATGCAGGCTAAGCAGAGGAGCATGTCTGTGTCAGGGGAAATGTACGCCCAGACGGGCCATATGATGTCGCCTCAGGGCTCCCTCATGGGGCCCCCACCTCAGCAGAACCTTATGGTCACACACCAGATGAGGCAGAGGAGTGTTTCACTGGACAGCCAAATGAGCTACATCTCCGGGCCTGGAAACATGGCAAACCTGCCTTTCTAATCATGTCCTGAGGGGCAAGGGCCGATTGTAGAAACTTTTTTTTAAACCTTTATTTGGATTAGGGTCGGGAGGCTGGGGCCTGTGGGGGTGCGGAGGGGGGATGTTTTTCATATTGGATTTGCCTCTATACGGAAAACCAGATGTGCAGTAAAATGGATGTGAATCCTTTTTGGGGGGCGGGGGTATTATTATTTTTGAAACCCAAGTGGTGACCGGGGGCTTCCAGACCCTACGGCAGTTTGTAAAATCTTCCTTTATTTTTTCCTCGTAGTGTGGGTTTTCTTTGTTTTTTGTTTTGTTTTAAAGAACAACCAAAATGTACAACAAGATTTTGAATGAGCTGTAAATAGGGCTGGGAAAGGCAGAAACTTGTGCTGGTTTTAAATTGTCTGTATTTCTGTGTTTTAATAGAAGCCTCAATTTTCTGTTTTAAAACAACAACAAAACTTTTTAAAAAATCAATGTACGAAAAAATCAAAAACTCTTGCAGAGGGAGTTCTAGGGGAGTGGGAGGAGGTGAGAGTGGGTATTGAGAGAGCCCTCTGCAAAAGAGCCTCTTTGCCAGCCCCACATCATTCATGCATCAGAACAGCTTGTGTGCAGGGATGCATGGTTTTGAACAGACATATATACACATCTTAGATCCTGATTCTGCAGTCAGACCCTCTGGGCCTGTACTCGATTCAGGGGTGCACCCAGTCATATGGATCCACCTGCAGGATTGGAGCTGCTGAGATGTCTATAAAACAGTGTTGGTTGTGGGAGTCGCTGTTTGGTGGTTGGGATTGATAGTGGTCTTTATCTGTCTCTGCTACATGGTGAAGCTGCTGGTAGCATGAGCAAAGAGAGGGCCCAGTTGTTTAGTTTAGGGAAGGGTGGGGGTCTGATCCCACTCTGCAAGTAACAAGTAACTGGACCATGAGCCTCCACCCAATCATGACACTCCCTGCTCCCCTCTCCATCCCCAGATGTTGTGTGTGATGTGTGCATGTCGCTGTGGAGTGGAGATAGCAGAATGAACACTGGGATTTCTGACTGGCTGATTTCATCCTGTGCTTCCTGGATGTGTTGTGCAGAGGCCAGGAGGGAACTCAAGACACACACAGACACCCCCCCCCACCAAAGCATCCCATACTTCTTGTTGGCTCTGCTCCCACTTACATGAGTTCATGCATCTCACCCTGCTGCACTATGCCCCTTGCCTTCTTTACAGTCCTTTGCCTCCGAAGTGCACACATTTCTGTGGGAGAGCTAGCCTGATGCATAAAAGCAGGCATTTTATGGTAAAGGTTCTCCAAGCATTTTCTCAATCTGGGAATCCCAGACTCCTCCATTAAAGGCCCTAGAGGCAGTTGGCCAGCAGTTGTAAGGCCACCTTTATACCCTGAAACCACCTGCAGCAGCCCTGCTCTCTACTATGGATGTGCAGCCTGTAGAGACATCAGGTCCTTGCATGCAATACTCCACCTGGATACAAGAGGCCTCCTGCTCAGATTGAGCTGATGTTTTTCTAAACGAAGCTCTAGTTCAAACAGTAATTTATTCAGGGAAGTTCCATGGCTTGTGTTATACAGGAAGCTAGACTAGATGATCACAATGGTCTCATCTGGTCTTAGAATCTATGCTGGGAGATGTCTCCTCCACAGGTCATTCCATGTTACTCCTAGGAGCAGCTGGGACTTCATTTCCACCACCACTGTAGGCTGCTTAAAGCAAGGACTGCAAGCATAAGTTTCGTGTGGGGGAGTGTCCCCATGCCTGGCACCCCCTTCCTGCAGAGAGTTCTTAGAGTGTGCTATGACAGCTTTTTGAAGGGAGGTTGGAGATAATCCATGTGTGCATGCAGTCTCTGTGGATTGCAGGAAAATATTCTAAAAAATGGATCCAAATGACCATGGGGCACCCTAACCTACCACCAATTTGAGGTTTATCTCAGAAAAGCCAGCCTTTTTGTTGCCCCTCTCATAGCAAAGGGGCCCCTTCCCTAAGCACCACAATGGAGGAGAAATAAAGCTTCTGCACCGAGAAGTTGAGAAGCACTGCATGAAATGTGAACCTTCTGTTTGTGGTTCCAAGAGTGAATCTGTTAGCAAAGGCTGCTGAACTGCACCAGCCCAACAGTCTCTTAGGCCAGATCCCAATGGGCTGAAACCAAAAAATTTAGACAGAAACATTCCCAAGTTTGAGGGTGTTTTGTGGGAATGGGGCTGGCTGGGAAGTCTGGATCCAAACCCAGTACAAGGGTGTTGAGCTCTGGTCTTTTGCTTTGGGCCTGTGTCTAGAGACCATGAGTGTGGCTCTCAGAACAGCAACGGGCTAAAACCAGAGGGACTTTTCCAGCTCTGTCCCATTTGGTAAAATGGGAACAACCCATTGCGTTGCCCATCTCTGCCTGGGACAGTCCCCTGCCCTGTCGAAGGGCCAAGAGGGCTGTCCCCTCCACCTCCCACTCTAAGTGCACTCAGGCACCTTGCTTTTTAACCAGGGTGGTTGTTTACCCATTTTAGAGACTGGAGGGGGGAAGATTGGTGCTGGAAGAGCTGGTTCAAGCAGAACAATACAAACCATACTGTAAAACAAACCTTCCCTATTTCTCCATGTTGCCCCCTGGCAGTGCTGTTGGGGGTGACGCCTGCTAGTATTTCCCTTGTAAACACCATTGGGAGTTGCTCAGGACCAGCACAAAAGCCCCTGGCCCCATACGCTCAGGGGCATTTCACCCCCCACCATTAAGTCTCTCTATTTGAAGCCATAATCTTTTAAATAAAATTAATCTTTGTCTCCAGGCAGCCATTGCTTTGACCCCTGAGTGATTAAAAGCTCCAGTGTGTAGACCTCCTACACTTCCCTCTGCCCATCTGGTCTAGCTGAGAAATGTCCTGAGGTGTTGGATCTCTGTTCTGTCAGCATTGTCCTCACATGAGTCAGGGCCTGCAAGTTGCAATATGTCTGTGTGAGGAAAGTCAGTGCAGCTGTGTAGAAGAGCGAGAGAGAGAACTCGCAGATGCAGGTGGGAGTGATGGCGTTCCAGGTAACAGACAGGGAAGGTGACAGTGATGATGTTATTTATCCCATGTTAGATTGCATGACAGTTGGGAAGGAGCAAGGCCTACAGCCCAACCGCCCTCAGTACAAAAGTGAAATTCTGGTACTTTGCAAGGCTGTTGGCCCTCCTGGGGCACTTTTTGTTTGGTCTTCAGAGCAGCCAACTGGGAAGTCGTAACCAACCCCCCACTGCCCTAGCAGCCAGTCTTCATGATGTCTGAATCTGGAGGCCAGCAAGGCTGAGTGGTGCCTTTTTTTGCTTCGGGTACCATCTCCCAAACAGGTCTAGTTCATCAGCAATATGGTGGGAGCCTTTCAGAGGTGAATGGTCGCCACCCCTTGTTTGCTCTGTAACCCTCTGCTGTGCGCTGGGTCTCATCTTGTGCTTTATTGCTTCATTTATTGGCTTCAGTTTTGTGTGCTGAATTCTACCCAGTCATGGTTATGGATGCCCATTTGTTTCTAACTATGATATGTCAATGTTTTTTCCTGCTCCACACAAAGGAAAACGTCTTTCCAATGCAATTTTAAGCAATCACATGTCCAGAATTAGCTTTCATGTCAAGGTAACAGTGACTGACCCCCCCCCCTTTCTCTGTCATCCCATGGAGAAACTTCCCCAGTCATTTTGTACCATTATATAAATATATATATAAAAATATAAATATATAAATACAATATGTGAAGACATCTTATTGGTTTTTATTTTGAAACAATTTTTAGGCTTGTTTTTTGGGTATCTGTGCTGCCTGTAATGTATTGACCTGTTTTATAGGTGCCTTTTTATTAAAAAGAGAAGTTTCAAAACCTGATCCTTGGAGCCTGTCTTCACTAGTCTGAGTTTCTTCAACATTAGCTAGTGTGGCCCACTGTACTTGGGGGCTCACATCAAATCACATATAGCTGGTAGTTGCTGTTTGGTAGAGCCCCAGCGAAGAACTGGCTTGGACACATGCTTTTCTTCTGGTTGTTTTCTCCAACTTACGTTTGAGTAATGAGGAAAGTTGTTGCCATGTGAAGGGCAGAGATGTTGTTAATGCCCAGATTATCCGAACTACAAGTCAAATCTTAGCTTTTAACTGCAATCCTTTCCAATGATGCCAACAGCAGTCTTCTGCTCCTAGCAGGATCTGATGCTGTAGTAGCACCTATGATCAATGTCCTGCTGAGCTAGGCCACTGGCTAACCCTCTGTTGCTGCTTTTTGGGTAGTTCATCTTCTCCATTCAGTTGGAAACAGCTACCATGAGGCAATAAAAGAGCCCATTCCCTCCCTGCCCTGCTGTCAGCCCAGCTCTCTGCACCATAAACCATGTGTGTCTAAGCCCTCTTGCTCTCTCAGAACTGCAGAGCCATGGATGCTCCTGAGCCAGTCTCTCTCCTGCTGGGCAAAAGCAGTGAAGGAAAGGAGCAGCGTTGGCTTTATTCTCTGACTGCTCCCTTGGAGCTAGTCATCAAAGGCTACAAAATAATCTTCACTCCCTGATTGCAAACTATGTCAGTCAGCATACGTGTGTGTGTGTGTTCTTTCCATGTGCTGTCCCAGCTCTGCACAGAGAGCTAGTGCAGCAGACTTCAATATATTGAGACAAGTTACGCATTACACTCCTGGCTAAGAACATAGGAGTTGCTGATTCAAACCCTCTTTCTGCTTGCTGAGCTGGGATTTTAACTTTATTCTCATACCTCCAGTGAATGGCTGAAGTGCCAGAGTGGGAAGTATTTTGATGTGGGAGCTCCCTTGGTCTTTCCTGGTGAAGCTGGTCCACCACCACTAAATAATAATTGGGTCAAACTCAGGCTGTGAATCCTTTGGTAGTCCAGTTGTTTCGGTACGTTCTCCAGAATGGGTGAGTTGCTGGTTCAAATCCCTTTTGTGCTGGTTGAGATGGGATTTGAAGCAGGCTCCCTTACCTCCCCTCTGCCTCAGTGGAGGGGATCTGGTGCCTGAGGTGCAGGCTATATTGACTGTGGACTCTACAGAGCAGCTCTTGCTGGTTTAATTAATGAGTAATTGGGTCCATACAAAAGACCCAAATCTCTTTTGTCCCCAGTGGCTAGGATACACACCCAGGCTGTGGCACAGCCCAGGTGACTCCCCTTCTCTGCTGAGGGGTGTGAACTGGTGGCTCCCACCTCTCACGGAAGAGTCAGAGATGGGGTTCAGACAAGGATGTCCCACTGCAAAGGGCAATCACCTGGGAGGGAGGAAATCCTGGTGCAATCCCCTGCTGAATAGGCAAAGTATGGCTTTGAACCAGGCTCTCCAACAACCCAGGTGTGAGTATTCTCACCACCAGCCTATAGAGGGATTCTGACTTTTGGCCTGGCCTGAAGAATTGTTAAGTCAATTGCAATAGCTTCAAAAGGCAAGAGTGAGGGAGCCCCTCAGTACTATACCCCAAAGCCCAGGGCACACACCTTGGCTGCAGGAGAACCCTCTTCAATCTGCTTCTCCACAGGCCAAGGGACAATTTGAACCAGCATCTCCCACAGGCCAGGCATGTAACCTAACCACCAGGTTGCAGAGCACGTCTTGCCCATGGGCTGGCCCAAAGAATAGTTAATTCAAGTGTAACGGCTTCAAGAGGCAACAATGAGGAACCACCCCATCATGAAAGCCCAAAGTTTAGGGTGCACACGTGGGATACAGGAACTGGCTAGTCAAGCCCTCTCTTAACAGACCAGGGTGGGTGTGTTGCCCTAGCATTTCCCACAATCTACAGCAGTCACTGAACCACTGGCCTAGAGAAGGCATCTCAATTATTCTAGGGGCCAGTGAGTGGGTAAGTCAAGTGGAACAGCTTCGAGGCAAACATGAGGGAACCCCTCCCCCCTGCCTTTCTGTGGCTGTGATGGGGTGGACTAGGCCCAGAGGCCCCATGTTGGTGGCCTCAGGGTCCTGCTACACTCATCCCAGCTGAGGAGCAGTGGAGCGGTCCTCGAAGCAGGCTAGAGTGGCTGCAGAGGAAGCAGCTAATCATGGCCTAGCAGGGCCATATAAAAGGAGCTGCAGAGCAGCGCAGCAGTTAGTTGCTGCTGGAAGCTGGAGAAGAAAGGACTGCAGGCCTGTCTAGCTGAGGGATCTGCAGCACAATGGCCAGCGAAGTGGAGGCAGGGAATGGGGGAGCGAGAGGCTCCTGGCTGGCTGCTAGGACTGAGCCAAAGACAATTTGATCCCCCAGGCCCTGCTAGCAATGAAGGAACTCTGGGCGGGCTGTGGACACTGAGCCGGGACTGAGCCTGGGGAGGGCCACAGGAAGATAGTGGCTCCAGGGAGGAAGCCCTGGGGATACAGCCCAACATCAGGGCTGGACTAGTTTAAAGACTGCAGACACACCCAACCAGAGGGGGCGCTTGTGAGAGGTGGGTGCTGACCCCATTATAGGGGCCCAGGGTATTGTCAGTTGGCATGCAGAAAGAAGTTACTCACCTTGTGCAGTAACGCTGGGTCTTCGAGATACATGTCCCTGTGGGTGCTTTGCTGTATGTGCTCTTGTGTGCCTGTGCTGTTGATTACCAAACTTTGGTAGCAGTGTCCTTTTGATAGCTGTCAATCACTGTGTGCCACCAGGCTGAGCCTTGGATTCTATCTAGGTAAAGCCCCATAGGCAGCTCCTGCCACAAAGGCCCATCTGTCCCAGTTGTTCAGGTATGGGCTAGGGGCAGGTCCAGTTCTCAGTCCAGAGAAGCTATTTCTTACATGATCACTGCTCCTCTGCCCTGTTGCACTGACCTGTTTGGAGCTGCTCAGCGATTTGGGCATGTAACGTCTGTTACAGACTTTGCTGCATTCGATGTCCAGCTTCCTGTGTGTTTTGGTGAAGCCCAGGGCTTAAATTCTCAAAGATTATTTCCCGGAGCACCCCACCCCATTAGGGGCTCCAGGCTTTAGCTTGGGGGTGGAGGGGTGCCAGGGCTTGGGGCTTTAGCCCCGATGCCTCCGCAGGTTTGAAACTATTTACCAGAGCTCCACTCTGGTGTGCTCCAGCTGAATTTAAGCCCTGGTGAAGCTCCTCTTTCTTTGACTCACTCTTTCCTCTTTGCTTGATGATGAGTTGTTGCCAGGTAGCCATGGATCTGCAAGACTGGGCTGCAGCGTCACATAGCAGGCAGGACTGTAGAGCAGTGTATTATCCCTATTTTGGAGACGGTCAAACTAAGTCTATGTGACTTGACCAAGACCACATCAGGCATTAGTGTCACAGCTTTAGAATCCCTTGCTCAGACTGCTGGACCATGCAGTCTCTCACTCTTGAGCTGCCTCTTCTTGCGGCCAGGGCCAAACTTGGATGAGCAGCAGAGCAGGCAGACAAATAAGTGTTTTTGCCACCAGGCAGTTCTTGCAGCAATTATGGAAACCTGGGAGCACCAACTCTCCCCGGGCCTAATGCACTGTGAGCACTTTAATAAGACCTCTCCAACGAAACAAGCTCCACTTGATTTTTTTTTTCTTAATTAAAGCGGCTGAGCTTTGAGTCCAACTCTGCTATGGGTTGGCAAATCTGAAACTTGAATAAAGTATGCTATGCATCTGATGAAGTGGGCTGTAGCCCACGAAAGCTTATGCTCAAATAAATTTGTTAGTCTCTAAGGTGCCACAAGTACTCCTGTTCTTTTTGCGGATACAGACTAACACAGCTGCTACTCTGAAACGTGAATAAAGTAGATTATAGTAACCTATTAGGGTTAGCTGATGTCTCAGTACAGTGGTGATGGGTGCTCTAGGCAGTCCTTGGTTAAAAACTGAGCGAAACCTGGATCTTACATGTGCCCTAAAATAATAGAGCCTGCTGCAGCACTAGTGAAAAGAATAAATTCCATTGAGCCTCATAAGCAACACATGAAAGGCTCCTTTTATCTCCATACAGAACTTATCAGAAAGGCATCTGACCAGCCAGCAGCTATTCATTGGTCTCTCTGATCTGTCTGTGTTTCAGAATATTGACAATTCTGGCTGACTTTCTGCAGAAGCATGAGACATGCGAGGTGGAAAAAGTACTTTATTTAATCATTATAGTTCATTTAAAAAAAACTCAGCAGACAAAATTTATGGTGAGTTTATAGGGACACTAGATATAAGTTATAGTAAAAAAAATAAAGCCTCTCAAAATTCCCCTTTGAGTTATGAACACTGAAATAATGTACAAACTGTAGCTGGACTTTGCCACAGTAGCAGTTTAAACAAACTTTTCGGCATTTCTCCCTGCTTGGACCATAAGAATCACCTCCTCAGCTTCACTGGGGTCCTCAGTGGCTGTGCTGTGAACACCGCAGGGAATGTTTGATTAACAAAAATAAAAAACAAAGTTACATCCCTTGGAATTTAAAAAATAAATAAATCTCTAAACCTTGGACTTTTCCTGTTGGGGTTAGAGTTGGTAAAAGGCTTCACCAATGCTCCATTTTGGGCTGAATTTAGCCCAACGGTGATCCTTTAAATATGGATCATTCCCCTACAGATTCTTCTTCTGACAGATCATTTTTCTGGAAAGGGGTGAGTGAATTGTAGTTGGTCTCTTTGTTATTGGGTGAATGCTACTAGTAACCTTAGCACAAAGCTCAAACATCCACTCTGCCACATGGGCAGTTTGACAACACTGAAATTAATACTGATCAGCAGAAATAGTTTTAGTTTTGCCTAGAAAATCAGGTTAATTTTGGAGCAGATTTTTACAAATGTATTTGCGGTTAGGTTGTGCCTCGGATGAGTGGTGGCCAATGGCTCTTTAGACAGAACTATAACATACATTTCAAGCCAAAGTAACACTTTACCTATTAAGAAAAATATAAAGAAAGCAGCAGCATTGCCTACACATTGTCCCTGTCGATGTGACAATAGCTAATGGAAAACAGACAGTTAAACAGAGTCCCTTATGGCTGCTCTACACAGACTTGCCTGAAATAACCCCAGCTGTGGGTTAAAACTGCTGTCGTTAGTTTGGTGCATGTCTGTGTAGAGGCCTGATCCTGAGCGCTGCGGGGTACCCACAACTCTGGTATGAAGTCAAAGTTCAGACCCTTTTACCCTAAAATCTAATACGTGAAATTTTTAAAAACACCATCAATGCAAGTAGCGCTAGAATGCCTGAAAGCACAGTACAAAGCATAGCAAAAACTTTCCCTTGTCTCCCCCTGAAGAAAAAAAACAAAACAAAAAAACCAACCTCCTCCCTACCCCCCCAAACTCCTTTTCTCCTTCCATGTTCTGTTTTACTCTGGAATAATGGGAATTCTTGCTCTTAAAACCAAGAGATACAGCAACCGACCCCCAAAGCAAATCAGTAACACATTCAGCCTTATTTCCCTCCTCCTCCCCCCCCGGTAATCAAAGTAGGAGAGGGTCTGTGCCAGCATTCAGTTACAAGACTGGACAGGGCCTGCTCAGAGAATATTCACCCTCAAAGGAAATCAATTAGTTCCAGTAAGTCAGTAACTGGAATTATTAATAGCAATAAAATGGATTGAAAGTGAGTGAGAAAGTATGCATCTGATGGGCAGGAAAGGAATTCCTGACAGTAAAGTCTTTGGGCCTATGGAAGAGTCTCCCAGTGTGAGTCGCAGAAACGCCGCCGTTGGGGATTGAGGCACCCAACCTGCCCAAAGCCCCAGGAAAGGTACAACAGGAGACAACCCCACGTTGTCTGGAGGAGATGGGCTGGCTGCCTTACAGACCTCTTCTACTTCCAAATTCTGTGATACAGTCAGAAGAGCAGTGTCCAGTCCTTTGTAGTGACCAGAACGGTGTGTAACATGCAGCTACGTGCCCAACTAACTAAAATGTACTCTAAACGTCGTCATATTTTACATGACTTTCATTAAACATAGAACGGTTTCTAATTAAAAGCAATAATCGGGCTGTTTCACTTTCTTCTGATCACCTTAATGAGCTGCACAGACTAAATCATGCTCTTCCATTTCTCTGATAAAAATCTCTCCGTCCTCTGGAATTTCCTGTTTGTCATTTTCTAAGGGCCCAATTCTGTGGTTGGCTCTGCACATGGGGCTCCTCCAGTGGGGAGGATGCAGTATCAGAGCTAACTTACTAGGGTCCCAGCAAGCCCCTTTGCAGTGGTTGCTATGTAAAGTCAGTATTTACCAAGGGCTACCACAAACCATTTCTCCATATACTTAGCACAGGAAGTAACTATGTGGTAACAGTTGGCAAGTATTTGCTGTTTTAATGGTGGCCTTTAGACCTCAGTTTCTTGTGGAGAGGAGGGAAGTGGTAGGGATGATACTGAGGCGCAGAGCTGAGTCCTGCACCAAGGGCATTACATGCTCTGCTGGCCAGGAACACCAAGGTCTATCTCAGCCCCGTGCCCAGTTCTTTCCCCACTAGAAGGTGCTGACAGAAGTGATGGTGTCCGACTCAATCCCACTGCTCTTCCTCGTCACATCAAGGATCTCCTGCAGGGTCTCCTGGCTTATGCAGCCCAGGTCTCGGAGGATCCGGAAGAAGTCGTTGCGGAACTTGACTCCAACAAAGGCATAGAGGATGGGGTTGAGACAGCAATGTGTGAAGCCAATCACCTCTGTCACCATGATGCTGGTGCCCAGCTGGTCCGCCAAGGCACAATCGTTCGGTAAGGTTTCCAGCTTGTCTAGCGTGTCCAAAAAGATGACCATGTGGTAAGGGCTCCAACAGAGTAAGAACACCCCTGTGACCAGGATGGCCACTCTCACGGCCTTCTGCCTCTGCAGTCGCTGAGACTGGCACAGGGTCCTCACAATGGCTGTATAGCAGTAGCACATAACCAGCAGGGGCACGAAGAAACCCACAATGTGATACAGGAAGCGGGTTGCCAGCCACATGTTGCTGCCATGAATCCCAACTTGCTGGAAATTGCAGACACTGTGGTTGCTGTTGTCTGACCAGACCTCCATGAGCACTAGATCGGGCAAGGTCAGCACCAGGGAGATGAACCAAATGGCCAGGCACGTGAGGTGGATGGACCTGACTCTGCGCTTCCTGTAGGTGTGAATAGCGTACACTATGGCCAGGTAGCGATCCACACTGATGCAGCCCAGCAGCATGCTGCTGCAGTAGAAGTTGATTTTGTGGACAGCGCTGAGGACTTTGCAGAGGAAAGTGCCGAAGATCCAGCCAGTCAAGCTCTCGGTCACGCCAAAAGGCAAGGTGAGCACTAGCACCAGATTGGCCAAGGCTAGATGAAAGAGGAAGTTCTCGGTGGTAGTGCGAGCGCGCTTGTAACGCTCCAGGATGATCAATACTAGGGCATTGCCCAAGGTCCCCAGAAGGAATATCAGAAGGTAGACTAAGGGCACAAAGATCTTCTTGAAAGGATGTGTGGGATCGCTAGCCAGTGACGAGACTGTATCTGGACAAAAGTAGTCATCGTAGGATCTTGTGGTATTGTCATTGTCGTTGTAGTCACTGAATTCCCCCAGCAAATTCTGCAGAACAGGAGGAGAATAATCCCATTACAGGCTGCAGTTTCTGTACAGCCATTTCCCAGGAGAAAGCCCAACCATTACATAGGAAATGCCAGACAAGATTAGACACCTAGTCGATCAAGTCCAAGGCCCTGCCTCTGGACAATAGCCAGCACCAGACACTTCAGAGGAAGGTGCAGGAAACCTCCAGCAGCAGATGTGAGATAATCTGCCGCCAGGGAGGGTCTCATCCTGATCTTTGATCGTTAGAACCTCCTGCTCCAGCATTTAAGCCAACGTTTATCTCCCTTCCATTACGTTTTATCATTAACTAAAATATTTCTTGATATTCTTGTTATCCATATAAATATACAATCTCTTTTGAATCTTATTAAGTCCATGGCTTCAACTATCTCCTGTGGCAATGAGTTTCTCAGTCTAAGTACGCACTGCGTGAACAAATATTTCCTTTGGTTAGTTTTGAATTTGCCACCCTCAATCTCATTGAATGTCCCCTTATTCTTGTGTTATGGGACAGGGTGAACACAAGCATCCAGTCAGCTTGTCTATCCCATTCATTATTGTATAGACTTTTATCAGGTCCCCTCTTATTCAGCTATTGCTAAGGTAAACAATCCCAATCTCTTTTCATAGAGTTTTTTCCCAGCCCTTGATCATTCTTGTCACCTTTCTTTGAACCCTTCTAATTCCATTGTATCCTTTTTGGGATGGGGGACCAGAACTACACAGACTGTCTGGAGGAGGATGTCTTGGTGGTTTATATAGAGGCATTAGAATATTCTCCATATTATTCTCCACCCTATTCCTTGTTGACACTCACAGGTTGTTAGCTTTCTGAGCACTGCTGCACACTGGGCAGAGCCCTCCATTGAACTGGCCACCTTCACGCCCTTTCCTGAGTTGATGCAGTTAATTCAGAACCCTGTAAGGGCTACGAATAGTACATTTTCCCCTCCTACATGCATTACTTTGTACTTATCAACACTGAACTTTAGTCACCATTGTGTTGCCCATTTTACCTGGCTTGGTTGTGTCCCTCTAATTAACTTTTCTGTCGTTTTCTATCATGTTAATTCCATATTCTGTTCCCAAAACTACCTTCACACACTGGCCCCAAGGACTTTCTCTGATTTGTCTGTAGGGTGATTACAAACTATGCTGTATCTTGAGACAGAGAATATATTGCCACTCCTCTTGACTCAGTACTGTCCCGCAGCATGACACCACAGCTGTCTGAGCTCCTTGGGCTAAACTACTGCTGGGAATTTGTGATATCAGGTCCACACCCAATGCGCAGGCTGTGATGCTGCCACACAAAGTGAGATTTGCACTGGGAACAATGCAGCAGCTGGCCAATGGAGTGAGCTGTACGTAGGCACTGGAGATGGGACGGCCATTGCCTCCTACTTTTAAAAACCTGGCTGGGAGGGAGCACACTGAGCCTGGCTGGCGGCAGCTGGGGTCTGCTCTGCCTTGTGGCACATGCATCATGCTGGTCAGTTCCGGTTTTGTGTTGTCTTGCATGCCTGCAGCTGGTCCCTCACCTGCTGGTGGCTGAAACCACAGCAGTGGCTTCTAGGGGCTGGGGCCTAACCAGGTTTGGGAAGCAGAATGGACCCATTACCCAAAGGCCTTGGGCTTGCCAGCAAGGAGGGGAAGGAGTGAGGGAAGGAAGGGACTTAGAGAAGATCCTGTTGGTGGGGGGCTTGCCCTCCTCACTTTTATAGTCCTTTTGGCACCCATGGAGCTGTATCACACACCAAGTTTTTTATTCAAAGCAGAAATCAAATCAAAGTCCTGAGCACTAGAAAGCTGGCAAAGCCCAGCCCTCACAGTGGAGCACATGCTCTGACTGTCCTGCGCTGCTCCAGGCAGGCAATGGACAGAGCCTGCTAGCCAAAACAAGAGTGCTCAGGAAAAGGGGAGGGTGGAAATCAATGAGAAGAGGAACAAAGGGCCAAGCAAGGGTTCATGGCAAAAATGTCACAGACAGCCAGTGATGAGCTGCTAAAATCTTAACAACCCATTCCCTATAAAAAGTTCTGATTTAAGGGATGTGCCACAGTATGTATTTTTTGTACCAATAGGGTTACCATACATCCATATTTTCCCAGGAGGAATTTTTAAATTTTAAAAATTCCGCCCGGGCGGCGATTTAAGAACCAAAAAGCCTGACATCTCCAGGAAAATACGGATGTATGTTAACCCTACCTAAAGTTCTTTTTTAAAAAGATGGGCCTGAACTAGAAATGAGCTCCGTTTCACATGTGTGGGTCCCTGCCACTCCCTGGGGGTGTGCACATGTGTGGGTCCCAGCTGCTCCCTGCCCCCCTCATTGAAGCAGGTGTGCAGGGTTACTGCCCTGGGAACTGCAGGGCACCAGTGGACGTGGGGCTGGCTGCAGACAGGGGCGTGGGGCAGGGCTAGCTGGAGGCAGGGGGTGCGACACGGGCTGGCTGGGGGCAGGGGGGTGCAGTAGGGGCTGGCTGTGGGGAGGGACAGCTCAACAAATACTAACCAGAAGATGGTAAGGGTTCCCCTGCAGTCAGGCTGAACACTCTCCCCCTCCCAAACACCTTCTCTGGAGACTGAGACTCTTGCATTGACCACAGCGGAAGTTTCTGCTTGCTGTTTTCATACCTTTCACTGCCAGCTGTAGCAGCCTGCACCTGCTGCACCTTCCCCCATTAGCCATAGTTCCTGCTTGAGCTGTTTTCAGAGCAATTTTTTTTTCTTTTTTTGGTTGCATTTTTTTTTTTAGAAACATCTCAACTGTCCTGTGAAATATAGTGAGTGTGAATCTCCCCAGTCATGAGACCCTAGGCCACATGGCAGAGGCAGAACGCTCCCTGGTTGGGGACACCCCCCTAAACACACACAAGCGATCTCTGGCTGTAGCAAGTGATGGCCTCACTTGAGGCAATGGCATGTTGTTAGCTTCTCGCCTGTAGAAAGCAACCCCTGGGACGTTGCACTGTGGCAGAGAGCTGTAGCTGCTGTGCACTCACGCAAATCTTTAAAGCGCAGTTTTGGAAAATAGTAAGGTGCTGGTGCTGCTTTACTCGTGTCTCCCCAGCGCCTCCTCCTAGGAGTTAGCCAATAGGCCAAGAGGTCAGGAAAGAAACCACACACCTTGGTCGGGTTTTCTACCTTCATCTAAAGCAACAGCAGGGCACCAGCCTGGAGGGACCAACACTCACCTCCACTAACTAAAACTCTGCAAAACGAATAGCTGCAAAGGAGGAGAGACGGCAAAGGGAGTCTTTAAACTACCCTTAATTTCATATTTTTCTGTTCCTAAAAATATTTCCTACCAGCTGCCTAGCTCATGTACATACCAGGAGTTAATGATGCCCATGGAACGTGTGCTAATAGCACTGACCATGGCAAGGGCCAATGCCCAAGGTCTACCCCAATGCTGGGGTGGTTCTATAACCTCATGCCTGATAAATACATCCTTAAGGGGTTCTTGTTTCAAAGGGCCCTCAGTATCTATGCCATCTGCAGCCCACCAGCTGCTGTACTATTAATGTGACACTACGAATGTGCACAGCATCTCATCAAATGCATACACAGGTTCCCTCTCTAAAAAGCTTACGTTTTCCCTTTGCAAAACAAATCAAAACAGGCTGCTCAAGAGCCAGGGAAGGGTTGCGAGGTTCCAAGCATCAGAGGGAGGAGGAGATGCTGCAGAACAATTTGGGACTGCACGGTTAATCACAAGAGTGCAGCATGGTGTCAAAACAAAAGGATAGCAATCCTTCAAAACATGAGCAGTGACTGCACAGTGCTAAACGGTTTTAACTGCAGAGAGTGGCTGTCAGCATCACCTTGCATTTACAACAGAAGATGCAGCACTCGAGCACCACTATCTACCACCATCTCATCTGTGATAAGGTGACAGGTAGGGTACTGTTTGTTTTTTACTGTAAGCCACTCGCCTCTGGCTTGGGAAACGTGCACAGTGCTGTGACTGCGCTGTCCTCTCATGTACGTCTCAGGCTGGGAGAGAGCAGCAAGTGTGGGTGGGAGCGGACAGAGATGAGTCAAAGAGACAAAGTATTTAGGTATTGAATGCAAGCTGAAGCAGAAAGGGGTTGGAGCGCAGCAACAAGAGTTACATAGAGTGTGACACACTAGGGCTATTGAAACACAGCTGTGAGGGACCTTACAGCATTCAGTATGGCAGGTGCAGAGATTAGTCCCCATGACTCGCAGGGGCAATAGGCTGTTTCCAACGCCTGCTGCTTGGCCAGGGACTCAACATTTTGCTTTAAGGATGGATTTGCTGGGAAAACGTGTGTGTGCTTGCGAAAGCCTCTAGTAGCAGGAAAAAGGGGCCTAAAAATAAGGAAGGAGGAAGGAATAGAACAGGAGAATTATGTAATAGCTTCCGTTTGTCACTGCTGTGGGGGTATGTGTGTGTAATGATGGGGAATTACATGTAAAATAAAACAGAACTGGCAAGCCAAACATGGCACTAATTTTGTGTGTGTGTGTGTCTCTCTCTCTCTCTCCCCTTGCAGGAAGATAGATTAGATTACATTTATTTAATGCAATCCCTCAGGCTTTCTGCTTAAGAGGCTCCTAGAAAATAGAGATGGAAAAGACATCCCCCTATTAGTTCATCAAGTTCAGCCTCCCTCAAGTGCTAGGAGGACATTAAACTGATTCTACTCTACCTCACAACTGCCCATCTCTTCAGTCCCAAAGTCATCCATGTTCCACACAGATCTGGTGTTCCCCTCACAGTTGAATATCATTTACAGATGAGATAAAGTCATGGAGCTGAAGTTCTGGAAAGTTATTCACAACCAAGGAACAAATCCCACAGCACTTTAATTTCCCTGCATGAATAATTTTGTGTCTGTCACAGACTACATCCCCTATCTGGACCTGGGCAGGTTAAGCAGTAAGGACACACCACTGATTTTAGCTGTTTTTCTGCCAATAGGATAATTTATATATAAGGCATATAACCGAGAGGAGGGTGAAAAGAAAAAAAAAAAATCAGAATTGGTCTAAGATTCCATTAGTTGTTGTTTTGCAGAGCTTACCCACTGGATTCTGTACTTTGACCACCCCCACCTGCCGCTCACCGTGCTTTGCCCACTTTTCACTTTTTTCATTAAGGAGTGAGCTCTGCTTTACTCCCAGCTAAACTCCACCACCACGATTCTCCTGCTTGAGCCTTTCATTTAAAAGGAGGGGTCAGGGTGCTCAAAGAAGGGGAAGTATCGTTAGCAAAAAAAAAATACTGGACAAAAATAATTGTTCATTTTCTTTTAAAGTTTTCACAGGATTTTTCAACAAAACAAATCAAAAATTGTTCTGGGGTTTGTTGTTTTTTTGGGGGGGAGGTGAGGGCTGCTTTTTCCCTTTTCTCACCTTTCCACCACTCCCCTTCAAAGGAAACAAGGGAGAAAAAGGTAAGGGGAAAAATTAAACCAAAATGGAATGAATAGGTTTGTGTTTTTTGTTTCTGTTCAAATCAAATTTCCTTCAAAAAGTCATCTTTAATTTAAAAAAAAAGTTGAAAAACTTCTGAGCCACTCTATTTAAAAGCCAGGCTTGGTGGCAAATCTGCCGTGAGCTTTCCTTAGCATGGAACAATCATCTTTTAAAAGATATTATTGTTTTCAATTTACAAGGCTAATTAGAGGCTGGAATATACTGTGTCATAATTCAAATCTAGGCTATTTGTAGTATAGCTTCTCTCCTGGTAAAAAAACCTCTAATAAAAATACGCTACAGAACTGCTCTCGGGCAGGCTCCGCAAGACGACCCACTCATAGAAAAGGATAAAATGCAGGCAGGGATGCGAGTGTACAATTATGTTATTGTGGGATGTAGGTCTTTCATGTGTTTCCCAAGGTTATTGTAGCTTACCCAATTACTCCTGTTTGTTAAAGTTAGTGGGTTTGATTTCCCATGGCACTGCACCTTGTGCATTTACACCAGTGCACGGTGGTGTAAAATGCTGTCAAGTCAGAATACGTGTTTTAAACCCACTCGCTGCTGGTTTAAATGACTACACAAGGTGGGCTTCTCTCTAAGCAAGTTAACCTAGGAAGGAGACACATCTGATTCCCACCATCTCAGAATGAGCCTTTTGGCCACAAGAACAGAGCCTGCAATCCCAGCACCGACAGCAGGAGAATTGTAGAGCCACCACTGATGAAAACACTTTAAAGATATGGCACAAGTAATCATGGCATGTGAGAAGGGCTGGCATTCTCATCTGCACCTCCTGCAGCTGGCAAAAACATTCCTAAATAGGTGCTTTGGGGTCTAACTACCTTGGTTTGAAATTTTAGCTCGAGACCAAACTTATCTAACCGAAAGGGGGAAAATATGTGTTTGTGGGTGGGCGAGGTTAAAAGCCAAGCTCCTCAGCCCAGATAGAACACCCGTCACCCCCCCAGAATCCTCAACCTAAACTCATGGACATTGCAAAAACAAAGAGCCGTGCGTGACTTACCATGTCATAGCTCTTCATAGAGATGCTGTAGGGCCCCATTATTTGAGAGGCAGTTTTTCTCCTCCAGTGGTTTGGGTAGTGGCTCTGACAGAGACTATCAACCAACTTCCCTTTTTGATGAGGGGTTAATAATTTAACTGAGTGGGGCGGGGAATCTAGTTCTCATCAACAAAGTATTGAGCTTTTCAACTTTGCAAGGCAAATGAGCTCAAAGCTCAGAATGACCTATTTGAGCATCAGATTAGAATCTCGCTCTATCATCTTTACTTTAAACTGATTTTTAAAATACAGAGTCTAGAGGCTTTTATAGAAGACACTGCACTGGGTTTAGGCAATGTACAAAAAATATTTAAGATTTTAAGACATGTCCTACTCATGGGAAAAGTTTGTTTCCAACCCCCAAAATGCCCTGAATTGGGTATGGACTGGATTGTCATGGCCCTCTGACTCTAATAGCACCAGCTGCTTTAAGCCCTCAGCTTTTCTCTTCTTCCTTCTGTTTCGGCTCTCACCATTATCCAAAGTAATCAAACAGTTTGCTCCAGAAGGACACTGGCAGAATGGTTGCAGCAGGGATGGGGGAATAGATAAGTAATTAATTAATTAATATTTGTACACCACTCTGTGTAAAGTAAGAGAGTCCAAGTGATTATACAATACCCATGTAGTTACTGCATTACTCAAATTCCTATTGAGAAGGATGATGTCTCTGCTTGGTGTGCAGGGGCTGTTGGTTGCCCTGTCCAAAAATGTTGCAAAATCAGTGGGAGAGGGAAGGGCAAATTCATGGTGTCCAAACCCAACCATTAGCTCAGCAGGACAGAGCAGCATGGTATCCTGGCCTTCTTTTCTTCATCCTTGTTTCTACAGAAATAGGGTGACCAGACGTCCCCTTTTTAAAGAGACAGTCCCGTATTTCAGCCCTCGTGCAGGTGTCTTGACTTTTTCTAAAAACAGGCAAATTGTCCCGTATTTTCTGTCTACCCCTCATCAGTACAGGTGGGTCCAGCTGCTGGCCAGATCCTGGCTCACCAGCCACCCACCCACCAGGGGTGAGTGGGGTGGTCCAGTGGCCAACAATGGGGGTGGGTGTGCAAGGCAGGCGGTGAAGATGCAGTGTGCGGGGCCGGTGGCTCCCCCTGCTGGTCTGTCAGCATAGCCCCTGCTGTGTGCCAGGTCTCAGACAGCGGGGCCCTGCTCCCCGGGCCCGTTTCCAGCCGGCACTGGAAGCAGCTCCCGTCCCTTCTCTACTGCACAGTGCCAAAAGGCTGCTGCTGGCCACATTCTGGTGTGAACCCTGGCAGGAATCTGAGGAGAGGGGGCATGTTACCCTGCGTTTCCCCCCGACATGTTGCCTTGGGAAGATATGGCACCAGGTATCAGGAGAAGTCCTTAGTAAAAGGCGAAAGATTTATACGATCTGAAGAGGTATCAGGAGAGGTAGTCCATCCCGGGGGCCTAGCCAGGCATGGAGGGTGGAGAGAGCCTGGCAGGGAGGGTCGGGTTGGGTCGTCACCCGGCCTGTGTGAGAGAGGTATACCAGAGAGTGTGTATGTGTCACCTCTCCCTGTGTGAGCCCTTAAGTCTTAAAGAGAAGAAGGTAAATAAAAAGAATCCAATTACTCAGTATTTCTTTTTAAAAGGGGCTCAGTCAACTTGATGTTAATTTGAATGATTATACTGCATAGTTCTGATTGATTGCCATTGAACTTGCTTGAATAGGAGTAATTTTACCAGGTGTCCCGTATTCAGCATAGGGAAATATGGTCACCCCAGACAGAGACCATATTGTGGAGGTGTGAAGCTCTGATGAGGGTAATGCCTGATCTCTACAAGGCAGAGTGCATTGGCACTGAGGCCGCCATGCTGGAGAGGATGTCTGAATGGAAGTCATGCAGACGAAGTGGGGGGCACACACCATGTTTTCACTGGCCTTTATGCCCCTCCACAAAGGAGCAGCGAACCACTGCACTGGCTGCAGTGAGTCCACATCCCCTTGCCTGTAAGACAATCAGCTTGAAGACAAGCAGGCAGCTGTGATGAGAAGCACCTCTGCCCCTAAGATGCTGCATTCCGTTCTGGGCACATGGCTGGTCCTATAGAATATATACTGTTCTTCCACACCCACCCTGCCACTTCCTGCCTGCCAATGTGGAGAGAGACAGCCAACCAGAGAAGTTGCTCCAATAAAAGATAGTACCTTACCCACCCTGTCTGACAGACAGACACATACATACACTCATTTTGTGGCCTGTGTGGACTCGCCTTCATGGCCCAGGAGTCACGGCTGAAAAGCAGCTATCCAAACAAGAGGCAGAGAGCTCACACTCTGCTAGGGCATGCTGTTGCCACGGGAATAGGACATGGCACTTTGGCTGGTACATTGACAGAGTAAGGCCCTATGTAGACTCATGAGCACCAGAATGCAATTGTCTGGGACACTGCAGTACCAGAGTCATGTAGTACAGTACTGGGAAGAGCAACACACAGTATTTAGAAGCTGGAAGGACAGAGCTAAAGAAGCAAATTTGACTAAACGCCCACGAGAAGGCAGATAGCTAGAGGTACTTGAAGGACATAAGCGTTAAGAAAGAGAGGGGCATCATTTAGAGAGGCAGTGTAGGCCCCTCGGACTGTGATTCAGTAGACCTGGGTTCTATTCCCAGCTCTGTCACTGACCAGCTGGGTGACCATGGCAAGTCACAGCCCCTCCCTATGCCTCAGTTTCCCCATCAGCAAAATGGGGATAATGATACCAATGACCTTGGTGAAGTGCTTTGAAATCTACAGATGAAAAGTTCTACCAAAGAGCACACTATTATTATAGTACATGGGGTGTAACTAGAAGCAAATGGGATAAAACGGGGCCGTGGGAAACGTAGGCTGGAAACATCTTCCAATGGTGTGAACTATGGGCCAGTCTGCGCAGAAACCATGCATGTATCTGGTATAACTCTGCTAGGCATGAGCCTTACAAATACAGAGACACGAGGGAGCAACAAGATGCCTCCATTTAGGAACAGGCTTCTGACCTTTAAACTTTCTGCAGCAAAGCATGGAGGTAGAATTACCTCCAAACAGGTCCAGCAACTCTCTGCTATTGCACGGAGGTGCGTAATGACAGCCTGCCCCTTGTAGTAAGATGAGGCCCTGAAACATAAACCCTTGTATCCGAGACCCGGTATGAGGCCTAAGGCCTGAAATAAAGTAATGGTCAAGACTTTGTTAACATAAAGCAAAGTTAAACTGTGAGCCAGAGGCAGGCCCTGCTCACAGAAGCTAGCAAGGAAAGGGCTGATGTTGCAAAAATACACATACCTAAAAGGTACTGGACACTAGAGATATAAACATGTGCCAGGATGGTACCAAGAACACTCCGATACTTGCACACTCCACACAGATGACAAAGAACAGGCTGACCCATCCTAAAGACGAGTAGAAGGGGAATATGATGGCTAGAGTTGTTTTGTTCGAACCAACATGTACAAGGAGAGAGGCGGCACCTTACTATATAGAGGGTTCCACCTCAATACGTCAGGAGTGATGTGTAACGTGTTTGTACCTGTGCATAAGAACGCATCCCTGAGTGGTTGTCTTTGTCTGGCCTAGGGGGCAGTGGTAAATCCCACCACTGACTGAGCCGGTCCATTGTCAGGGAGCACATATGTACTATGTAGACATCTGATTCGGGGAGCTAGAGACTGTGTTTTGTTTGGCAATAAACCTGGCTGTGTGCCTTCGTACCTTATCGGAGTCTGTGGTCATCGTGTTTTTCTTACGAGATCTGCAGAGCCGGGGCAGCACACAGAGGGAACACACACACACACACACACGCACGCACGCAGCTGATTGTTGTTATAATTGAACAAAGCAGAGCACCACACCGGTGATGTCTGATGACACCCCTGATAGTGTCCTACCCTTCCTTTCCCAGACTCTCAAGCTGAGTTTGCTGGGAGCCTGAAGAAACTGATGCATCCAGCCAGTTAAGATAAACTGGGACCCCCCCCAAACTCCCTATTATTTAGTGACTAAACATCTTTGCACGCACCCAGACACTTTACAAAATTACAAATGAGAGGGGCCTTCCCTGTAGCCACTGCCAAAACGCTGCGTCTCTCAGGAGGAAATGCATCAAGCAGAGTTGGGCACAAAAGAGTAGACCTCAAAAACTGCAGCACAGACAATATATTGGGGTTCCATGGATACCATGGCACATCAAGCCTTTTCAGACACTGTGCCAAAAGTTCAAACGCAAGGGCTGCAGGTACTTCAAAGGCTGGGCTGTAAGGGCTGTAACACCGTGAGTCCCCAGCATGCATGTGTGCACACACACATACAGCTAACAGGAAAAGACTATCTGATATGGCTGGCTGGCTACAAGGAAAGGAAGCAGATACCCTAGGGGCAAAACCTGTGCCAGTGAAAAGTCAACTCTGCCTTGCAGGGCTGGGCAATAGCAGGGGAAAGGCTAACCTTCCTGTCATGGTTCATCAGGCACCTTCAACACTATTCCTTCCTGGGAGGACAAATTAGTTCTTAGGGCTTGCAAGACAGGCCCTGGTGGTGGTACTGGTCTCATGGGACACCATTTGCATCATCTCCCTATTGGCAGGTACATGTTCTCTGCTCAACAGTCTTCAGCTTTGGGCATCACAATGCAAGGCCCCTCCTCAGACTTACCTTGTCCTGCTCTCCTGTACACACTAGACCCAGACCTCTGGCTCAGTTCTCCATTTGTCATGTGTTACTTTGCTGCAGTAGGTAGCTGCTCCCCTACTGGTCTCACTCTGAACCCCACTCCTCTCCTTACATCTACACCTTCCCTGGGGAGACTTCCCCTCAGCCTAGTTGCATCCTCTGCCTTTCTACAGCATCTAATGGACTGCCCCTTCCATTCCTGGTTCACGCTGAATCTGCCACCATCCGTGCTCCCTGGCAGCTTCCACACCTTTTGTAAGCCAGCATCGCCTTAATATTCTGGGACCCTGGAGCAGCTTCTCCTGGGCCCACTCTGCTCCCTGGTCTCTGCTTTTCCC